ATCCCAGCCAGTCACCCTGTGTGGAGCCTACACACAGGTGTGGGAGGGGACTTGTGTTTTAGGGGAGAATTTTTTTTTAAGAATCATTTGAATCAAACAGGACAGGTAAAATGGCATCTCATTGTCCTGCGTTCATTGGAAGAATCGTGGGAGAGGGAAGAGGGTCAAAAAGACTCCGTAAGCATGTGCATGGCTTTACTCTGGAGGTGAAGAGGTCGTCAGCAGTAATAAAAGGGTAATTAAATTGGGGAGAGGTTAAAGGTGAGTGGCTGGTTAGCGGTGAAGGCGCGCTAGCTGGTGTCACCCAGGGCTGCAGGAACCGCAATGCAGGGCTGCACTTGCAGGAAGTGGCAAGGGTGGGGCCGGGCGCAGGATCCCGCTATCTGTCGCCGCGGGGCGCGAGGCCCAATCACTGACACCCACACAGCCATTTCCTGTACTTAAAAAAAAAATCTGTTTCTCTCTTTGCAAATCAACAACTTTTACCTAGAAACTCTTCAGCGGTGAGTTCTGACTGATCTAGATCTCTGGTCCGTTGCAGAAAATACACCATTGTTTACCTGGGGGAGGTGTGTGCGCTAACTTTAACTGACAGGTTTCGGCGGCTGCTGGCGGAGTCTGTTTTGCATCTGCCTGGAAGAAACCAGTTCTCTCTCCCCAAACAGACACCTGCTGGTTATTGAATACCTTGATAGACCTTTCTAGAAAAGACCTCCAGGCATAGAGAACTCAGTGCCGAAGCCCTGTTCATGCTCCAGAGGCCAACTCTCGCTGGTCCCTGAGGGCACACTCTCTGGCTTGGGGCAAGAGAGAATGGGGTATGTGGCCTTGAGAGCAGATGATCAGCCGTGGGCTGCTCCTGTCATACCCGTGTGATACCACAACTCTTGTAGGGGATCCTTGGCAAGGCTCCCAGGTGGAGGGGTCCCCACTGTGACTGCACAGGCTGACACAAATACGTGTTTATTGCATGTCAATTAAAACTCAATGGAGCTTTTAAACACAGCTCCCATAGAATGGGAACTATACCTCTCATGCATGAGACGGCAGCCAGAAACCACGCGTGCCTCACACCGCACGTGCACTTGGGCCCACACGAGCGACGGCAGCTACGTTTTGCCGAGAGGACCCTGGAGCCCTCTTTGAAGTTCCACTACCCACGCTCTGACTGCTCTCAACTGCAAAGACTTCTGTAGCCTGCAGTCTCACGGGAGAAAGTCTGCCTTGATGACTCCCTGCACGCACAGGCTGCCTCAGGCCCAGCCTCTGTCTCTCCCAGGAAAGGACCTACCTGTGGAAGGGGGCCCTGCGTCCTGGTCCCGTACCCTGGGAGCAGGTTGGGGGTGCACCGCACATCTGTCACACCACGGGCAACTGCTGTGCAAGGGCACTTTACCCACATGGCCACCTGCTAGGTCAGAGTTGGTCCCATGCTCAAGCAGGAAAACTGAGGCTTGGCAAGGTTAAGATACCTGCCCAGAGCCCCTCAGGGGGACGGCAGCAGGGCTGGCACGGGAACCTAGGCCCCTGTCCGACATCTGGAAAGCAGTCTGGTCAAGCAGCTTCCCGGGACTCTGGCAGGATGGGCATCCCAGCAGCTGGAGGCAATCAGCGTCAGACTCAGTGTCTCGGTCTTACAGGTTGGAGCCAAACTCCAGGTGCAGAGACTAGAAACCTCAGGAGCCCCTTGGACAGGCAAGCCCCAGGTGGGAATGTGGGGACATCAGACCCATTTCACACGCAGGGCAGCATGTTTATGGAAGAGCCCATCCTTCATCCTGGTTTCTGCAAGTGCAGGCGTGAAGCTGCGCATTTGGTTTGTGAGAAGAACTGTTATCACCAGACGGCCTGCGTCATTCACTCTGCCTATCTCCACAGGATCACGGCTGGACCACCAGAGCCACAGGGCCCCAGGAGCAGGGGGCCCACCTCACCTCCACCACATTCAGCCACGCTGGGACCGCAGCTCCCCCTACATGTCAGGGAGGCCCTGGAGTGCGATGACGAGCTATTCCTGGGAGAAGGCAGCCACCATTGCATGCTGGCCACGTGGCCTTTTCAAGCAGGAAAAGGCCGGGCCAGCGAGAAGAGTAGAAAAGAACGTTCCATTTCCTCACTTTCAAACTGTTGGACTTTATATTTTCTTAAAAAAAAAAACAAAAACACTTGTACATCCTCTCGGCTGCTTCCCATCCTAAACAGCCAAGAAAACAAGAGGCCTGCCTTGTGCTTTCGTAACGAGTGTTCTGAGCAGGACTTCCTCCAGCACGCATCTGCTGACCCGTCTTGCTAAGAACCAGCTAACGACTACGCTGCTCCCAGTTTACACAGCCTCGCTCTGTGCGGTGCGGACGGGGAGAAGGGAGAGCAGTGTGCACAGTGGGACCTCAATCCCTTCCATCAGAGAAGTGGTGGGGGCAGACACCTTCCTCTGCGTCCCCCAAAGAGCCGAACGCCTCCCCCAAATGTGACTTATTCAAGCGTCAACCGCTGGGTCAGACACGCGCGTGGGTGCATCGGCACGGCTAGCGGTTTCAGGTTGTTAGAGGTTAGGATGAAACCACAGCAGAAACGCCGCTTGAAGCGCTCATGGCAACCGCCACACGGTGTGTACCTACCGCCCAGCAGTGTGTACAGCGCTGGCTTTTTCTGTTCAGCCATGGCTTCTGGGTAAGAGAATCAGACGAGAGACATTTAGGCCTACACGCGGATGCATTGCGGCTGCTCACACCGCACACATGTCAGCCATGTTCCAGAGCACCCCCAATCTCACGGCTTGATTCTCATTACAGCTGCCTATGGGGGTGGGAGGGCTGGGCGGAGGCAGGTCACTGGGTCACCTCGCTGATGACCTTAGGAGGCCCACGTGACTTCTCTCACTTCCCTTTTCTCTTCTGCTGAAAGGGCATCACACTGCCTATCTATCTCGCAGGTCTTGCTAGGATCTGGTGAGATAAGAGGCACACAAGTGCTTCTTAAGGGCCATGGACGTGAACAGGCTATTAGGGGCACCTCACCAGCCATAGCAGAGCAAGGGTGTGGCAGCCCACAGCCAAGAGCAGAGGCAGCCTAAGACCCCCAGGGTCAAACAACCCCAAAACATGGACAGCTCTCTAAGAAGCCTAAGCTCAGACACCAGCTCCAAGGAGGCCCCCAAACTCCTGGTGTTCTCTGCTTGTTAAGTCTGCGCTACACTAAAAGCAGAAGCCAAAATGTGGTGGGCAGAATCGCAGAGGGAGACACAAGGGGAGGGGACAGCAGAAGGCAAGTTCGAAAGCAGACCGAGCACTGGTTCAGATAAGAAGAGGAGGCCAAGAAGAGAGTTTCCAAGAAACCCTGAGAATGAAGCCATGAACCTGTCAGCCACTGAGTGGAGCATCTCCTCCTTGAGGAACATGTATGTGCACATGCATTCACAGGAGAGCATGTGCACATGTGTGCATGCAGGCACTGTGTGAGAACATGTGTGCGCATAGGTATGAGTGTGTGTGCACATGTCTGCACATGCAACTAGAGTGTGCATGCATGTTTACATGTGCAAGTGTGAGCATGCAGTACGTGAACGTGTGTGCGCACATGTATGTGCACAACTGTGTGCAAGCAGGTGCATGTGTGCACATGAACTGCATGCACTGTGTATGTGCATGTACATGCTTGTGTCCATGCATGTACAAGCATACTGTTGCTCCCATCTTTCAGGCAGAGGAGGCCTGATGCCATTTGATCAGGAGACCATCAAGGTCCCCTAAGCCACTGTCTCCGTCTAAGGCACCAGCAACCTCTCACAGATGGAAGGGAATTCCTTTGTTGGTTCTGCTCCCCCCACCCCGTTTCATCGTAAATGCCTTTGATGTGTGGCTGACAGAAGTGATCGCTTCATGCATCTGTTTCTGCTCACAGTTCACAGAAAATCTGTTATAAATCCACCCGGCCCATTGGTCATACTTTCTCTCATGACTCATCTGTAAGGAGGCCAAACTGGCACATCAGGAGATGCTCCACCCATCCCCCTGAGAGAAAGCTCCGGCCAGCCCAGGTGATAGGAGGGGAGAGGCAGTGTTTTTAAAATTCCTTCCCCTCCGTTCGTCTCTACTGACAGGTGGACCTTGTGTAGGAAGAGTGGCCAACCTTGGACCAATGACCACTGATAACTAGAGAGCTCGAGGGCCTGCAATGACCATGGGCCTCATGGGAAGATTGAAGGAGAGGGGCAAGCTCAGGCCGGAGGGAGAGGGAAGGCCATGCAGAGCAGGCAGAGTGAGGGAGCGAGTGCTTCTCCTGTCGCCACCCACAGTCTAGGGACAGCGCAGGCGAGACTGCCTGGAAACTTGCGAATGAGACACATCCTGGCCGAGGCACCAAGGAAACACGGAGGGGATGGATACACGGACTGAGAAACTGCAATGAATCCTTCTGCCGCTGAAGCAACAGCATTCTGCTTTCAAGTCTGTAACCCAGCCTGTCAGCCTTTCCCATCACCTGAGAGAGATCCCATGCACAAGTTCAAAGTCCTCAGAATCCTCAGGGGGGATGCGCTGGGCCCTCTCCTGAGAGCAGGGCCTGGGCCAAGGCTGAGAGAAATCAGCAGCCTGGCCAGACTGAATCAAGAGGGCAGCCTCGGCCACCAGTGCTGCCGTCCCCACCCTAGGGCCCTCCCTGAGCCAACCTGGGAAAGAGCTCAGGTGGGGTGGGGAGGCTGGAGCGGCCGCAGGGCCTGGTAACTTGCTTGGCTGGGATTGTACGGCAGCTCTGAGCCCTGAGCCTTCCAGAGACCACCCTGGAGCCCCAAACAGAGCTTGGAGCCAGTGAGGGGCCCGGGCTACACACACACCATGCACGGACCCAGGCGACTAGGTGGAGGGGAGACCCTTTTGCTCTGAGTGTGGGCCCCATGGCATCTGCTCTCCTCTGGGCCGGTGAACGGAGGGGCCCTCAGTTCCCCCGCCGTCCTGCACCGGTGGGTGGGCGGCTGCAAGAGAAGAGAGAGTACTGACCGCTGGGCGGTTTAGGCCGTGGAGGAGCAGGCTTCTTCGGAGGCAGAGCGGGAGTGTCCTGTTTACTTTTAAAGGGGTCATCTGAGAATCCTGCCCCTCCAAAGGAGGAGGTGAAAGGGCCAGAAGTTGGGGGCTGAAAGAGAGGACACGAAAGAGAGGCAGAAATAACTGTTAACACGGAGGCAACGGACGTCCATTGAGCCGATGCTCACATACAGAGAGCCTCAGCGAGGCCCCCAACCCTCCAGGCTGTGCAGCACAGCCCCTGCTCGGTCCCAGGGTCTCTCACAAGCCCCCTGGAGTCCTCCAGCCTCTGACAGGCAAGCCAGCAAACAAAGAGCAGGCGAGAGCAGCCCCATGAGGGAGTGCCCCTTCCACACAGGCCATCCCACCCACACAGGGACAATGGGTATTCCTGACCCCAGAGTCCCCTGGGCCTCCAGCTCATGTTTCAGAGATGCACCCCCCCCTCACCCTGTGCCGCCTCCAGGCTAAGTGCTGGCCTGTGTGGCCAATGCCTTCCATCAGTGACAGGCAGCAACAGGCGTCTGATCAGAATGGCACCAGACCCTCTCATGCCCCTGGGCTGCCTATGGGTGCCCCTCAAGTGAGTCAAGTCGGAGCCCACGCTTGACTGACCAGCCCAGCCCACCATTGTTGGCACAGCCATGGCTCCTCTGTTGGGCTCTTATCACATTTGGCCTGGACCTCCCACTCCTGCTCCCACCCACCCCTGCATCACCTGTCTCCAACCCAAATCAAACCCGATCACCCCAGCGACAGATAGGTGCATGGAGAGAGGGATGCGTGGCTAGGTAGATGGGTAGAGATGACAGACAGGTGGAGAGGTATGGAGCACTGAATGGTCCCAATGCCCACAGGCAACCTCTAAGCACACTTTGAGGCATGCAGGGCCTTCATCACGGCCCCCCACTGCCTGATTCTTCAGCCTCATCCCTGCAGTCACCCCCATCCCCTCCCAATGATTCCTGGGTCCCTGGAATCCTTTACACCAGTGTCTCCAGGCCCCTGAGCACATGGGGTCCTCAGAAGGGAGGCTTGTGCATGCCCACCTCCTCTGTGTCAGCACAGGTGAGGGGGCAGCACACCTGCTGGCCGAGCCTGGGTGGGCAGTGACTCATCTCTGTGTGCACCCCCACCTCAAACACGAGCACAGCACCAGGCTTGACAAACCGCAGGTGAGCTGGCTCCTCTCGGGTGACAGGGCCTTGGGTACCCCAAAAAGAGAAGATCACTTTCCCTGGGGTTGGGGAACCACTTTTACTAAAATAGAAAATAAGCAGGAAAAAGTACAGCAGGAAACACAGAGCCACTAGAAACAAAGGGATTGGTAGAAACTGGTGTAAAAATGCTAGTATGGTCCTCAAAGAGCAAGGAAAGGAGACACGAAATCCGTGGGAGGGCAGGAGTTGGACAGGGCACAGAGAGGGCATTTCATGTCCCCTCCACAGGGGGCAGGCCTGAGGACAAAGACAAAGCAGCAACACAACGGTGCACACATGGGACTTTCTTAGATAAGCTGGACCAACCAATTACTGGAGCAGTGGGGAGAAGGGGCGACTCCAGTCGTGGAAGATGGCTCCCCCTCCGCCAGGATCCAGTCACGGGGACACGGCTCCCCCTCCGCCAGGATCCAGTCACGGGGATACAGCTCCTCTAGGATCCAGTCACGGGGACACGGCTCCCCCTCCGCCAGGATCCAGTCACGGGGATACGGCTCCTCCAGGATCCAGTCACGGGGATACGGCTCCTCCAGGATCCAGTCACGGGGATATGGCTCCTCCAGGATCCAGTCACGGGGATATGGCTCCTCCAGGATCCAGTCACGGGGATACGGCTCCTCCAGGATCCAGTCACGGGGATATGGCTCCTCCAGGATCCAGTCACGGGGACACGGCTCCCCCCTGCCAGGATCCAGTCATGGGACTGGCTCCTCCTCTAGGCTCTAGTCATGGGGACAGCACGCAGCAGCCTTGACCTCTGGTATCTAGTTATAGACACTAGTCTCAGGTGAGGGACAGGTGGCAGCCCACAGGATGAGGAGGGGCCTGGAGAGGCTTCTGCACACTCTGCTGACCCCCGTGGGAGATGCTGGCTCTGTGCTGATCTTCTCACCTCATCTTCCAAATAGCCTTGGGAGGGAGTCCTACCGTCACCACTTCCGTTTTACACATAGGGAAACTGAGGCACAGTGAAGAGATGCAGCCTGCCAATCACCGCACCTCAGTGGTGGAGTGAGGGCAAGAACCCACGTCGTCTGCCTTCTGGGTCAGGAGCCCTGGGCGTTGCCATCGGCTGCTGGCAGCCTGCCTCACAGTAGGTTTGGGACCATGTTCTGGGCAGTGTCCCTGTCCTTAGGCCTATGGAAGAGACATGCGTGGATGCACGTGAGAGGCAGAGTAAGGCAGGAGGAGGCCCAGAGGAAGATGGGGGTCCAACGAGGAAGACTCGTTTCCTTGCCAGGACCACCCTGGCATACCAGGAAGCTCTGAGAAGGCTGCAGGGCTGTGGCTGCAGGGCTGTGGCAGGGCCAGGAGGTGCCTCCCTCCATGCTGCTGTTCCCCTCTCCTGGGCTCTGTGACACTTGTCCCTTTAGGCATGAAAGTCGGGGAGTCTCTTTGTAAAACCTGCTGCTTGAGTTTCCAGAACATCCGCTTGGTCAGGCTGCAGAGCACAGTGGTCAGGGTGGGGTCTGGATGCCCTGCCACCCACTAACAGCTCCGTGTCTCGGTTCCCTCATCTGTGAAATGACAATAATGACAGGCCCTAGTGCACAGGGTCGCCGCTAGAATGCAAGAAGGTAACGCATAAAATCACTCCACCTGGCTCCTGGACGATGTTAGCACTGAGATGGCATGACTATTATCACGCCAAGGCTGCAGACATAATGAGAGTTCTTGTTGACACCTGCAAAAGACCCTGGGAACGCCCTGCCAGCTGCAGATGCTTCGCTGCTGCCGCCTCACACCACCCGCAGAGCCATTCCCAGAGGAAGGCGGCACAAGAGCTGAGGCACGGCGGCCCAGCTTTAAAATGGTGCTCTGGGGTCTGCTGCTGGGAAAAGAGTGAGGTGGGGACAGAGAGGGAGGGAACACTGGTTCTTCTGCTTATGCCTCCGCCACTCACAGAGCACAGCCCAGGCCCAGGGCTCACGTGATTTCCACCACAACCTGAGCCGGGCAGGCAGGAATCCAAACCATTTTCTTAGCAGAGAGGTGGTGTGACTGGCCCCAAGGCCCTCCCTCGTGTGGACTCCAGTCCTTGTCCTGGGAGCACACCAGCTCTGGGGTAGGAGGGCAGAGGGGCACCAGGAACCCTCTGGATGCACTCCCAGTCTCAGGTGCACAGTGTCCTTTTCTCTCCAGGCCATGCACTGCCTCCTGGACTGTCACCCAACTGGAGCGAGTGCTCAGCTGGTCGCCGAGGCAGGGCCCACCCTTGGGAGCCGCACCACCCCTGGCTTGGGCAACAAAGGGTTCAGAGAAGGGGGGAACCTAAAGGGTCCACTCAGCTCAGAGTCCCTAACACGTGAGAGCCAGCAACACACTAAAACCAGAGCTGCAATGCTCATCCTGGCTGGCTGGGGCTCCGTGGGCCAAGCGGACTCTCCGCCCGCTTCTGTGTAAACCCACCGAGCGGCTCGCTCCAACGTTCCAACTCAATGCCCGGTTCCCCCGCGACAGTGAATTACATCACTTCCAACACCAAAAAGCCTGTGTCATTTCCAAATCCCAATTTCCACAACTTCTAGTTTCGCAAGAAGCCTCCTTTGGGACCCAATTTGTCCCCCCTCGGGCTGGGGCTTCAGGGAAAGTTGCTATTTTTAGAAGAGTTTCAGTGAAGCCGGTCGGGGCTCTCCGGGCTGGCCCAGAGTGAAGCATGCTCAGAAAAAAAAGGCAGACAGAAAAGCCAGTGTGAGAGCAGCTCTCAGAGAAACACGCGCGGGCTCACAGTTTAAAAAACTAGGTTAAAGCAAAAGAGTCTTAGCTCTTCAAAAACAGCCCTAAATAGCAATGCACAGCTTCAAATGACCAACCACCTATCAAGGATTTCAGACACGGCTCTTTTTCGGGGGGAGGGGTGACACAATCAAGTTCAAGTCTTGTTTTTATTCTCAGACGCTCCCTGAGATCTAATTTGGGGGATTTGCTTTTAAAGCAAGGTAATGGAGTTTCGGATCGACACCTTCTGGAAAAATCTCTGTGTGTGGGAGGACCTCAGCTAAGAATGAGAGCCAAAGAGCCTCCCAGAAGAAGAACCTCCTGGGATCAGATTGCTGGCTGTCGTCTTCCCTTAGGGCTGCCCCACAGAGGACACTTTGATTTAGGGGAAGTTGAAAAGGGGCACCCGTGGGCCTCGCTTCCCCACCCACTCAGAAGGGGAAAAGCTGGAGATGTGAAAAACAAAAAAACAAGAAAAACCAAGAAGCCAAAAAAAAAAAAAAAACACCTTCTTGCCACTTTACTTTCATTTCCTTCAGCATTTTATTTATACACACAATGTTGTTCTTGAAAGACAGAAAGGGAACCAAAAAGGAAAAACAGAGTGACAAGGTCAGGGCTCGGTGTTCAGCTGGACAGGCGCACGAGAGCGGAGCTGCCGGGACCGTGGAAACGGAACAGCAGAAGGCTGGGGACGAATTTCCCCGGCCCCATCCAGCTCCAGCCCACCCAGCACCTCCAACAGGAAGGGGCGCTGGCTCAGAAGTCACGGTACACGTGCATGTGCGGCCTGATCGGGGACACGGGGACCAGGAGAGGGAAACTGGAATTGGAAGAGGGAAAATGCAACTTTAGATTAGAAGGGGCAGAGAGAGGAGGCCCAGGCCCTGAGTGGCCGCGGGGAACAGAGACCACCCGGAGAAGGGAACATGGTCTTCCTGCCTTGCACGGTCCTCCAGGCTGGCGGCCCTGCAGGGACCTCCGCAAGCCCACACAGCCTCCATTCAGACACTTCTTGAAATAGGGGCCTCGTTGGTGCCCTGGTCCTTGTCCTAGCTCAGGCCACTGCTAGCTCTCACTCCCTCTGCCTCCAGGGCCAGCCTCCCACAGGGAGAGAGCCCACTTGCGACTGCTCGAGAACACAAGACAAACCCTTCCCTGGAGATTGCTGCCACCAAGTGGCAGAAGTTTTCTGATTTAAGGAGACGGTTTCCTGCTCACTAAGCAGGGACAGAAGCCGAGGACACACGGCGCCACTCAAGGAGCAGAGACGTGTAACAGCCACTAAGCGACACACAGAGGGCCAATCCCATGCCCTCTGGTGCCTGCCAGCCAATCCCAGTGTCCCAAGGGTCCATGTCACAGCGTTTCCATATGAGGGATGGAGGCTGGTTGTCCTCCAGGCACTGGAAGGAGAGAGGCCACCCCACCAGCACCTCTGGGCTCCCTCCTGGGTGGCCGACGGGCGAACAGATGCTCCGCCTCTGGCCAGAAGCTGGATGTGCCACCGCGACAGTTTATGCTCACACACTTATTTGAAAACCTAAACAGAATCTCAAGTGTTTCTCGGAAGCCGTGCGCCACAGTCACACTTCGGTAACCACAAGCGCTCAGCATCCAGACAGTTGTGTACTCCTGGGCTGAGTGAACAGGGAGCACGCAGGCAGGACGCCCCGAGGAGCTGGCTGGGCGGGGGTGAGCTGGTGCGGGAGGCGCAGGACTCCTCGCTGCAGGGGCTCAGCTCCCACATCCGGGGGGCTCCCCGCCCCGACCCCTCCCCACCTCCTGGCTGTGAGCTTTCCCTAACTAAGAGGCAGGACTGGGGACAGGGACTGTTTTCTGCTCTTGGCCGATGGGACCTGGGCTGGAACAGGCCGCTGGTAAAGATGGGCGGAATGAAAGCAGAAAGTTGGGCCCTGTGGCTCTAAGGCCCTTTCTCTCTGAGGGATCCTGCCCTCACCAGCCTCAGGGGTTGCCAAGGAGGAACGGAGCACAGGCAGGTGTGGGGGATGCGGACTTGAGGCTGAGGTGAGGCACACCTGGGCTGCTTTCCTAAGTCTCATCAAAGAAGCACCTGCTCACAGTTAAAACCAAGAGACACTAAAAGCTACACTGAAGAGCAGCAGACCCTCGGCCCGCTGCTTCTCCCACTTGCCGAGGCCAACGCTTTCAATTTCTTAGCAGTTTCTTCCCTAATTTACCTCAGTAATCATGGGCTTCTACTGTTATTTCTTGACCTGCCATTTTGGACACGACCTACTGACGGACTTCTTGACACACTGAAGATTCAGCTGTCCCCACACGGTCCCCCAAGCCCCTTCAACAGTGCTCTAACTCCATCTGGGGCTACATGCACAGCCAGTTAACCTAACTATGGCCACAAACACTGTCCAGCCCAACAACAGCATAAATGTTGTCCATCTTGGACAGCTCGCTCTTCACCTGTATATTCATTTGCTGAGGCTAGGCCTCGCTTTTCACACCCCTTGAGGCTACTGTTCACAGGTGGCTCCAGGCATGCGGCTCACTCTCTCCAGACACCTCCTGCCTGCCAGCCTGTGGCCCACAGTCCTGGCCACAGTTGGTTGCACAGCAGGCCAGCTTCCCATGACCCTCCTGGGCCCTCTGCCTAACACCCTGAGTGTGTGCAGCCACAGCGAGGCCTTATCACCTGAGACCCGTCAGCCAGCAGACACCAGTGGGAGCAAGGAGGAGGCGATGGTGCTCATGCTTCAGCAAGGGACTTGGGGCTCTGGCAGTTCTGCTCAGAGGACGAGGAGGCAAATGGGCCCGATCACAGGCACGGGTGCTACTAGACCCAGCCTGCTGACTCACCACCTTGTGGGAGGACACGTTTCAGTTCGACAGGTGCCGAGGGAATGCATACATGGGGTTAACAAGTACGCCTGGCAGCCCATGACAAGACCATGACAAGAGGGACAAGGACTGGCAGAGGCACGGGGGCTCCATGGGAGGGGCTTTACCTTGGACATCTGGCTGAAGTCAGCAAAGCCCTCAGCACTACTGAAGGAGCCACTTCCGAAGGGGTCCAAGGTTCCAAAGGGACCTGCAAGCAGCACCAACAGAGGCCGAGTTACAGGGCTTTCCTGGGACACGCCTCCTGGGGTCAAGGGGCAGTGTCGCCTCTCGGTACTCAACAGTCCCCAAAGCAGGCGATTTGGGGAGGTCACGTTTGTTTGCTGGGGTCGTGCATTGGGGTGCAGGTCCTCAACAAGGCCTTCTGCCCACCCCTGCTGTGGCTCGAAGTTGGTGTAGTTCGGCCAGACGGTTTCTTGACATGACAGCCAGCTCGGGAGAGCCAGAGGGACTCTGCCCCATGTCTATGTTTCAAGCCAGCACTGTTCACAGTCAGCAAAGGAGCAACAAGTGCCCTGTGGAAGCACAGCCTGCTGTCCCAATGAGTCAGGAGGGGAGAGGGAGGGGACCCACTGTCCACATGATTTATGTGGGGAGGTCATCTGTGGGTAGAGACTTTTGCCGAGCTTTCTCCCTTGGTGGGACAATTTTCTGGAACAACCCACATGCCCACCTATGATATCAAACTCTGTAACCAATAAGCGGGAGCTGCTAGGCAAAGTGGGGCCTGTTCCCAAAAGCAACAGGGAGTCACAAATGCTCCCTTCCCTTAATGCACAAGCCAGTACCCTTGGTCAAACTTTGGATTCTTTTAGGAAACAAATCCAAAGGTACAAACCAAAGATTTATACAGAGGAATTAGTAAAGAATCACTAATAATTTTGGTGTTATTACCAAATTAATTGCTATTGCCAAGCTTCCTTTCCAGAAACATGATAGCTCTTGCGGGGGAAGATGAGCAGCCAGGGGGTACTGGCCTTGGCCAAACCACCTCAGGTGAGGATCTGGGTGCCACTGACTAATGACATAAACACTGAAGACACACCAGTTTTGGAAACAAAAGCCTTAACTGGGTGGGCTCCTTCCTCAGCTCAAGGAAGAATCAGAAGGAAAATAAGCCATTAGTCTCACCTGATCCTTTTGAAGAGAGGCTGGAGGATGAAAAAGGATCACTGGATTCAAAGGGGTCAAGCTGAGTAAAAGGAAAGAGGAAAGAGTAAAAAGCAGTTCATTTATTCCACCATCCATCCATTCAGCCACAAACTTTCCTGGCACCTATGTACACTGTATCTGGTGCTGAGCTGTGGGGAGGATAAAATGATTTAAACTAAACTCCAGCAGAGCAAAAGCTCACCAGACTGATCCTTCCTGCAGATAACACCTATCAACTCTGGACAAAATGCAAAAAGAGATGTAAAAAGCAACCCCCAAAGGCTCAGAAAGCAGGCAGACTTTGGAGGAGGCCTGAAACTTGGCAGACGAAAGCAGTACAAGGTTGAGTTTTCTATTTTGACAGCTATAGTCTGAGGGTGTCAGGAGGCTAGGATCCCAACAAAAAACTCGCTATCTTTCTGCCCAGAGGAGGGAGGTCCAGGACAATCACAGCCATGGGAGAGGGAGAGAGGATCCAGAAAGGAGAAGCAGAGAATGGGATTCCCAAATTCCGTGATAAGCTCTTCCCAAGTCAAGGGCTGACTCCTGCCCTGTGCATGGGTGGGCAGACTGAGAGCAGCCTGCAGCTAAAGCCGCAAGTATAAAACCATAGGCATGAGAGAGTTTGCAGTCTGAGTCTCACCAAGTGAAGTGCCTGCTGAAACAAAACCATCCACACTCCGGAGGAATGTAACAGAATCCAGTTTCCACAACAGAGCACTCACAATGCATAGGATACTTCTCTAAATTACTCAATATACAGAGAACCAGAAAAATGCAGCCAATTCTCAAGGGAAAAGATAATCAATGGAGCAAATTCCACGACAACCTAGATGTTGGAATTCTCAGATGAGGACGTTAGAGCAGCAATAACTGCATTCAATGAGAAAAAAGAAAGTACGCTTAAAATGAACAAGATAGGAGATCTTAGCAGAGAAATAGAAATTATACAAAAGAAACAAATGGAAATTCTAAAACTGAAAAGCACAACACCTAGAAAAAAAATTCACTAGGTTAGCCAAACAACAGATGATAGAGAAAAAAATTAAGTGAAGTTAAAGACAGATCAGTAGAAATTACTCAATCTGAAAAAAGAAGAAAAGAGAAAGAAAAGAAAACAGACCATCAGGGACCTGTGGGGACAATAGCAAAAGGTTTAACATATGTGTAAGTGGAATCTCAGAAAAAGAGGAGAAAGAGAATATGGCAGAAAAAGAAAATAGTTGAAAAGTTACCAAATTTGGTGAAAGACATAATTCATGGATTTAAGAAGCTCAGCAAGCCCTAAACAGCATAAACACAAAGAAAACCAGACATTTCACAGTCAAATTATTGAAAACCTAAGATACAGAGAGGCTCTTTAAAGCAGCCAGAGAAAACAACACATTACATCTGGGGGAACAACTATTTCAAAGACGATGACTTCTCGTCAAGGGCAGTGGAGGCTGGAAGGCAGTGGAACAACATCCTAAAAGTGCTGAAAGCAAAAAATAGTACTAGATTGAGCACAAATACCCTTCAAGATGAAGCAAAGTAGACTTGTATTACAAGAAGTGCCAAAGGAAGTTCTTCAGGCTGAAGGAAAACGATAAGAAAGGGAAAATCACATTTTGAGAAAGGAATAAAGAGCATTAGAAATGGTAAGTATATGAGCAAAATTAAAAAACGATTTTTTTCTCTTAATTTCTTTAAAATACATACAACAGAATAAAGCAAAAATTCTAAGATTGACCTCGAAGTTTATAATATATTTAGATGCATTACGTTCATAGGACAGCTATAACATAAGGTACTACTGGTTAAGGGGAGCTGGATGAATGGACCTGCAATATGGATATATAGCTGCAAGTTTTCTACATTTTACATTAAATGATCTTATATTAACTCCAAGTGGCCTATGAAAAGTTAAGAGTGTTATATGGTAATCCCTAAAGCAACCTCTGAAATATAACAAAAAGACATATGGTTAAAAGAGGCCAGTAGTACAAGAAAATAGAATTCTAGAAAACAAACAATCCAAAAGGAGGCAGAAAAAGGGGAACAGAAGAACAAAACATAGGGCATAAAAAGCAAGCAAATAATAAAATAGACTTAAATCCAACCATATCAATAATTGCATTAAATGTTAATAGACTAGACACTCGATTTAGAAAGCAGAGATTTCCAGACTGGATTGGAAAGCAAACTCTAACTAAATGCTCAATACCAAAGGACCTTCATATGTAAACACTAGACAGATTGAAAGTACAGGGATGAAAAAAAGATATCACGCAAAGAACAAGCATAAGGAGGATGAAGTGGCTATTTTAACATGTGCTACAATAGATTTCAAGACAAAGAATAACACCAGAGGAATAAAGGGAACTTTTATAATAATAAAAAGGTCATTATGCATCAGGATGATACAACAATCATAAAAACATAGGTACCTGACAGAGCTTCCAAATACATGAAGCAAGACTCAACAGAAATAAGTGGGGATAGAGATTACTCCACAACCATAGGAGAAAATTTTAACATCCCTCTCTCAGCAACTGGTAGAGCTAAAAAGCAAACAAACAAAAACAGTAAAGACATAGATGACCTGAACAATACTATCGACCACCTTGACCTAATTGGCATTTATAGAACATGGCATCCAACAACTGCAGACATTCTTCTCAATTGCACATGGTATGTGCACCAATATGGATCATAAAATCAGTCTCAATAAATTTAAAAGGACTGAAAACATACAAAATATGCTTTCGAGTAACAACACATTTTTTTAGAAAAAAATATTACAAGATATCTAGTTAAAAAAAAACTGGAAATGAAACAATACACCTTAAATAATCCATGGTTCAACAGAGAAATCACTAGGGAAACTGGAAAATATCTCAAACTGAATGACAATGAAGACACAACATATCAAAACGTGTGGAATGCAGCCAAAGCGGTGCTCAGAGGGAAATATGTAGCTTTAAACATTTATATTAGGAAAGATGGTCTAAAATCAATGACATAAGGTTGTATCTTAAGATGAAAGAAATAGAAGGGCAAAGTACTAACTCAAAATAAGTAAGAGGAAGGAAATAATAGAGAGTAGAAACCAATGAAATAGAAAACAAACAGGAGAGAAAATTAGTAGAGCCAAAAGCTGGTTCATGGAAAAGACAACAAAATTGATAAAGACTGGGAACACAGACTGCCAATACCAAGAATGAAAGGGGAATCCCATGACAGTTTCTTATGGACAGAAATGTTATGAATTAATTCCTGCCTTCAAGGAGCTCTGGGTCTGGTGCTGCAGACCGAAAGGTCCATGGAGAAGAGAGAAACCAGGGAATGTGTAAGGTGGGGACAGAGATGCAGCCTATAACACAAAGGGAGGGCATAAAACACCCTCACTTAGGAAAATTTTCTATTCAATAACAAAGTCACTTTTTTTGCTTTTTAAATCCTAGATGATGCCAATTTATTCCAGTCCTTTGGGCCTAATACTGTGCAAAACACATGATTTCCTAGATGCTGCGGGGGCGGGGGGCACACATGTGCCTTGCACACTAATTGCGGACCTGGACGTCCTCCTGCTGTGACCAGGACTCACGGAGGCAGTCGACTCCAGTGTCAGCATCAGTGCTGTGCACTAGGACGATGGCAGGGCGGTTGTGTGGAGGCTGGGGTGGTCTGTGGGAGTGTGTGGTACTTTGTTTCATTTTGTCTTTGTTGGGAGACAGAGCAGCAGTGGGGGCAGGTGACAGAGCAGAGAACCCAGCCGGAGGGCCTGAGCTGAAGTAACGGGTACAGAAAGGGACGGAGGAATTAGTGGTTCGGGACACAGACCACCTGACTTGGGCTCCCTGGACCGCTGGATGTGACGCCCTGCTTCACAGGAGGAGCCTCACAGGGACTAGCATGAACAGTCACCTTGCCATCCAGTAATGGGACCTGGCCCATGACCCAGCTCCTGGGGAACCGCCTGGCCTCACACAGCACACATGGCCCACACTGGTTGGGTTAGCAAGCACAGTTGCAACAGGGGAGCCCCTGGCTCAGCCCACAGGGGAGGACAAGGAAGGGTTGCCTTCACACAGGCAGTGCCATCGCCTTCCCGGGCTCACTCACCTTTGAGGGTAAAGGAGGGTTTTTCGTGAAGGGGTCTGAGGTAAACGGGTCGTTCTTTGTCTGTTTCTTAAAGAAGTCATCGGAGGCAGAGCCACGGAACGGGTCACTTTCTTTGAAAGGATCCCCTCCAAATGGATCTAGATGATGTTTCGGAAAGTACAAAAAAAAGCCTCCTGAATAAACAACATTATGCTTAGTGAAAAAACCCAAATAAAATAAAGCACGGAACTGACTGATGCCATTTACATGAAATTCTAGAAAAGTAAAAACCATAGCAACAGAAAGCAGGTCATTGGTTGCCAGGAGCCTGGGGGCAGGGGTGGGGATTTGGGGGGCACAAAGGAATCTTTCAGGATGATGGAAATATTCTCTATCTGACACAACTGTCCACATTTTCAAAACTCAGCTAATTATACACTTATAATTGGTGAATTTTGTTGTGTATAAAATACCTGTCAATAAAGCCAGTTTTAAAAATAATAAAAATAAACACCGTGGGTAAATCCGTAGAGATAGAAAGTAGATTAGTGTGGGCAGGGGTGGAGGATGGGGGGACTGATCACGGGGACAGGTCTCCCTTTGGGTGATGAGACGTTCTGGAACTAGATAGAGGTGATGGTCGTACAACATTGTGAATGTGCTACATGCCACTGAATTGTACACTTAAAATGGTGAATTTTGTAGGTGAATTTCACCTCAGTAAAAAAATAAAGAAAAAGCGCTAACTAGGCAGCACGATGCCAACAACACACCCAGTGTGCTCATTCCCCTCGAATGTGGGGTACAGCATGGTGACTGGAGGAGGGGAATGCCCCTGTGCCCAGGAGGCAACAAGACAGTAGGCTTCCATGCAATGCAGGCAGCCGTCCTTCCAGGACCCTGCCGCCACCCCTGCTATGTGCTGACAGAAGTCCTGGGGTGTGGGCACTACGTGAACCCCCTAATGCCGCCACAGGTGACCCCAGCGGGCACAGTGACCCAGTTGCTGTGGGTGTGGCTGAGCGACCGCCTGGCTACCAGGAGTGTCTTTTCTAGTTCTGCTTCTCGTCGTGCCTTCAGATTGGCAAGAAGGGACTCCTGGCCGTGAGAGGGAAGACGAGGTTGTTACCAGGCTCCTTCAGTGGCGAACCTCCCAGCTGCCATGTCATGGGAAACCCGGTGGAGGAGACTGGACAGGCTTTGCCATTTCCCTCAACTTGAACTACTAACGGAAATATTCTGAGGACTAGTCGACGAAACGTTTCTTTTAACCAAGGCTTTTTTTTTTTTTTTTTACCTGTTGAAGCTGTCTGCTGTTCTGCAAAGGGGTCATTCTGGAACGGGTCACCTGGATTAAAGGAGAGAGAAACACATGTTTAACTCTACGGTAGAAATGACCTTGGCAAATCAAAGTGGAGAGCAGGGCAGCTACTGGCAGAGGCGGTCTTTGACAGCTGAGGCCTTTAAGATGACATGAGAGCTCCTGTTGGCTGCTCAACACGGGCCAGAGTCAGGGAAGAGGCAGAATGAGCCAGAAGTCACTCTTTTTCTATGCCCTACTTCACTCTCATAACTCAGCTCCCTCTCACCTCCCTTGGCTACGAGGACATGGGACCCCAGGGCTGCCCAGTCCTCAACCACACAGCTGGCCCAGGAGCAATGACGAGAACAGTATGTTGGGGTCTCAGGAGCTGCCTGAGCCAACCTTGGCCTTAAGGTGCTCAAACTCGAAATCTGGAACTGGAAAGGCACTCCTGTTGCCCACTCCCTGCCTTGGCATTTTTCTCACAAACGTATAGATAGCCTTCTTGGAAGTACCGTTTTGCTCTGAAAAAACTGGAGAAACTTAGGAAATCTTGTTTCTAGGAATTCTTGGTTACCTTGACTCGTGTGTGGCTCTGGGTAAACTTACCACATTAAGACCACAGATTTACGTGGGGATCTGCCACTTTGTAGGTGGTTTCACAATCGTGATTCCACCTGATGACCTCATCAGCTGCGAGAGGTGAGCGAGGAGGAACTGACCACCACTGGCAGATGGGAACTGAAGCATGAAGAGGCTAGAGGCCGCCCATGCCACCCTTGACCATGGATGTCTTGCTGTGAGCTTGGAGCTCTTCCTGCCACACCTCGATGCCTCAGCTCTTTAGTTAACTAAGTGAGGGGAAAACACAAGAGGCTTATGAGGCTCAAAGAATCCATTTCTGGCCAGCCCTGTGGCCTAGTGGTTAAGTTTGGAATCCTCTGCTTAGGCGGCCTGGGTTCAGTTTCCAGGCAAGGACCGACACCGCTGGGGCCATGCTGGGGTGGTGACCCACATACAAAATAGAAGAAGACTGGCAACAGATGTTAGCTCAGGGTGAATCTTCCTCAGCAAAAAAAAAGAAGAATCCGTTTCCTCCTCCATTTCAGAGGGTGATAGCTCCGCAGTAGTCTAATCATTGGACAACCCAAAATGATACAAAATAAATGGCATTTCCCTGAGAAAGCGGGCGCCAAGTGAGGTACCTTTGAAGGGATCGGCTCCTTTAAATGGGTCAGATTTGAAGGGGTCTTCTGCCTGGAAAGGATCCGGATGCAATTCTTGGGCATTGTTGCTGAATAATAAGGCTTTATTTTTGAAAGGATCATCCTATAATTTTGTGAAGAGACAGGACAGGGATTTTATTATTTCAGAGTTAAAGCAAAGTACAAAATTCATACCTAACTCACACAATTCCCCCTTTAAGTGACGTGACCCTAAAGAGAATGATTTTAAAAAATCATTGAAGGAACACAGACTTTAGTTAATAATAATGTGTTGACATTGGCTCACTAGTTGTGACAAATGTACCATACAAGATATTAATAGGGGAAGCTGTGAGCGGGGTACAGAGGAACTCTCTGAATTATCTTTGCAATTTTCCTGTAAGTTCAACACTCTTCTAAAACGAAAGTTTATTTAAAAATTGAGTGGAAGCAAACCCAAACATCCATTGACAGACGAATGGAAAAACAAAATGTGGGATATACAAACATGGAATATTTATTATTCAGCCTTAAAAAGGAAGGAAGTCCTGACACAAACTACAACATAGATGAATTCTGAGGACATCATGCTAAGTGAAGTCACACACAAAAGGACAGATACTGTGTGATTCCCCTTATACTCGGTCCCTAGAGGAGTCACACTCACAGAGACAGAAGGCAGGACGGAGGGCACCAGGGTCGGGGGGAGGGGGTGGGGAGTTAGCACTTAATGGGATGGAGTTTCAGTGTGGGACGATGAACAAGTTCTGAAGACGGATAGTGGGGATGGCTGCTCAACCATGTGAATGTACCCAACACCCCCGAACTGTGCAGTTAAAAATGGTTAAGATGGTAAATTGTATATTCTGTGTATTTTACCACAATTAATTATTTTAAAAAATCACTGAGTCAGAAAAAAGTCCTATTTTTGGAAATGTCAGAAAGAAAATGCAATGAGCCACCCACCAACTGTAGCAGGGGCCTCAGTGAAAGGTCTGACCTCCCTCAGCATCTTTTTCTCAGTGTGTGCCTAGGCGGGCATTTCAAAAGAGGCACTTCCACACCAAGGACCACGCTGGCTCTTTGCATCTGGGGAGGAAGCGAGCGCTTTGCAGTTGCAACTACTAGAGCATGTAAAATACTTTGCATTTTTTAAAAATGTGCTTATTTCTAGAAACAAACAAGAGTATTTAAATCAGAAGAAAAAAACACTTGCTTTTGAAGAGCACATTTTTATAGTGGAAAATGTGCCTAAATGGGGAGGCCCTGCCAAGTACGTGGGAACAATGCATTTGGTTAGAAATACTGAGCATATTTTGGTTAAGGAAGACACACCATCAGTGAAAACATGAAGGTTTCGCTGTGATACGAAAAAGCACAACATCCTCACTGAATCCGGTAAATGTGTCGGCATCCATGGGGCTGGCAAAGTCACCCATCATTCCAACTGACCAATTAAAGAGCTAGGCATCCATAAAAATACAGACAATGGTTACGGGGGAATGACATCAAGGGCATCCAAGGAAAATTCCTGACAAGGCTCCCCCAGCCTGGCCCGGTTGGCTTCACGGAGCAGGATGGTTCTCAGAAGTGCTGGGCTGACAAGAAGCCACGTGTTTCGGAAGGACGAACCAACACCTCTGCCCTCCGAGGAACGTGGCGGAGTGATTCTTCTCACCTTGCAAAGATTATCTGCGGCCTCCAACCACAGGGCTTCCCAAGGTGGGGAAGCCAAGCCAGATTCTTAGACAAGCAAGTACACACAGACGTTCGCAAGCACTGCACCTGGCAGCAGTGTGTGGTTCTGGAAGGATGTCGTGGTGCTGACAATCACAAGATGCATGCGCCCAACAAGCATCTGATGGGGTTGTCAGACAGATAATATGATGGAGATGTCCTAATCTAAGGAAGCCGGGAGGCCAGGGTGGAAAACAAACCTCTGCACTGCACCACGGGGGAAGGGATGTATCTGCTCCAGAAGAAGGACAGAGAGGGCTGACAACCCAGATAAGGCAGTGACTGAAGAATGACAACTTGGCCTCAGAATGGAAGCTTCTATTTACTTTTTAATTGGCATTGATTTACAAGTTGGTTGTTTCTTGTTCCACGTTTTCAATTGCTGCTTGGAAGACTGCCAAGTGACAGTGCACATTGGCAGAGAAGAGACTGTGAATCTGGGGGCTCCAGCCGCAAGCTCCCTGCACTGAAAGTCGGGTCTGCAATCGCTCCCTCAGGAGCAAGTGTTTGCCAGAAGTAGCAGTCGCTGCCTCCGCTTTAAAGGAGAAGCCTAAGGAGACTCCAGCAGAAGTCATGTGGTTAGGGTAACTGGTGGCTTGGATTCCATTTCACAGATTCAGAGCAGAAAACCAGATTTACCCCTGGTGCAGAGATGCCATCCACTCAACCATCCACTGTCCACCTACCAATGCAAGCAGAGCCACCTGCCAGGTGGGAGATCTAGGTGCAGACAAGCGTGAGGATGAATGGCACACTACCTGGTAGAGGCGGCAGACCCTCCATGACGAGCTCAGGGCCCAGTCTTAAGTCTGCAGGTCTTAGGAAACAGACATGACAACCCTGAAGGGCATGAAAAGGGGTTCTGTGACATTCCTTCCCAGTGGTGAGCTGGTGAACCAGCTCTCTGAAAAAAAGCCCTCACTGGTAGTTTCTGCCAATTCCCATGGTATAAATACTCCCACCGTGGCTGATTTCAAGTTAGCAAAGGTTGACCAACCAGCTCACAAAATTTCTATTTAATAGTCGGCTCTGGAGAGTCAATAAAACTGGCTCCCATGTGCCACTGGGGCTGGATGCAGCAGACGATCCAATCTTTCATGACAAGCTCTTGGTGGGGCTTCAGTCTGGGATGATTTATTACCTTCTCTCTACTAGACAGGTTGGTTGGGTTCTGTCTTCAAGGGCAAGAGGCCAATAGTCTCATCATTCAATGAGACAAAAAATAAATATGGCTTTAAGAATCCTGTGTCTCTCGGACAAAGTAACATGGTATGAGCTTACCACTAAACTTAGTAACATGAGTAGGACTGCCCAGACTTAGAAAGTTCTAGATGCACCTCTTTGGTTACACTATTTTCAGGGGACTAAACCCCTCATTTTCATGGGCCGTCTCAGAGAACGAAGAGCTCTCTTTCCTCTGGAGCAGTCTTGAAATGTTCAGGAGTAAACAAAAAGCCCTCTTCAAAGTGTTTATGAAGAAACGGAAACAAACCAAAAAATGCTTTAAAAACTGTATTTGTACAACAAGATAAATATAGTTTCTCTTTCACACACCGGTTGCAAGTTTCTATGTAACATATCTGATGTCAACATTCCAAGATGAATTGACTATCATGTAAACTTTGCCCCGCTTAAAAGATGAGTAAAAATAAAGTTAAAAAATCTGTGTGTGAGGGGTATCACCGGCCCCTTGAAAACCACCACTTCCCTGCCAACTTTTATCCAAGGAAACCAATCTTACCAAACCTGCCAAAGGTGTAAGAGTGAGCTGTCCCATGAACTAGGACAGAATAGGCAAGCCGAAAGCTGTGCGAGGGTACCAAAGCCACAGGGGAAAAGAACAGGGCTGTGAAGCTGAAATGTACAAACCGAGGGAGCCAGACAGCCAAGCAGGAAATTCTGCCCCCACAGTTCATGACAAATGGATGTTCATAGTCTAAATTAGACAACGAAGCTGACGATGGGCCCAAGAGCAACATGGAATTCGCCCATGTACAATTCCACGAGAATGGGGAATCTCTGTACAGCAGAAGGAAGCAGCGGCGGCAGAGACGGCAGACAGATGAGAACACCGACAGCGTCCTCTAAGTGACGTGGGCAGGAGGCATAAGCCTCCCTGTAAATCCTTGGGACTGAGCACTTGGCTACTGAGAAAAGAAACATGTCGAGAAATGAACATAAAAAGCCAAGTCTCACACTGAGAGAGAGAGAGGCTGTATTATTACGGTGACGAGGAAGAATCCATGAAGCAAACAGGGCCGGGAGCAGAAGCAGGGCTCAGAGGAGGAGCCCTGCAAGGGAGAGGCAGCAGGGTGAGCTGGTCAAGGCTTTGGGAGCAGTGCACAACGAAACCGTCGAGCTCAATGGAGCCCCATCGGCAACTTCCATAGCAGAGTCGCTCTCATCAGCCAGACTGAACTGGACACGGCACTGGCCGGGGCTCAGGGCTACAAGGCAGACTCTGGTGGGAACAGGGGGATGTGACAATCTGAGGAAAAAGTAACACTCCTGGCTGTCAGGGCTTGAGAGCTCACAGAAACCCAAGAGGCCAACAGCCCCTCAGGCCTTGATCAGGGTGCCCAGGGTCACGAAGTTTGAACCAAAGGGCCAAGGTTTTAAATGTAACCAAAACTTCAGGAGAGAGGCCAATTCGGAGATGAAATCTACGAATATCAATACGTTTGATTTTCAAGAGGCTCCTTGTGGAAACACAGACACATGCACACATTCCCACGGTCCCCCCAACTAGTAGGATGTGGGGATTCATAATGTGTGAGAAACTGATTCAATTTTGGTTAAGTTTTGGAAGCCCTCCAAATTTGGGTGTTTGGCCCAGGGAGACAGAGAGCTTTAAAAATTGGTTTTACAAAGGATTCAGGCCTATCCTTGGCTTTGTCCTGGATGCTGGGTTGCAGGGCTGGTGGGGGCATGCAAAGCAGCAGCAAAACAAGAAACACCCTGCACGTGGATGGAATCAGGCTGGGAGGGCCGGCTTCCACGGGCAGGCATTGTCTGATGCCTTCGTGGGACCTAATCCCGGGACTGGAACACATTTATTCGACCTTTACCATGGCTCCAAAACCGCCCCTCTCTGTCAGGGAGACACCCTCGCTCAGGTCGGCCAGGCGGGTCAGGCTGGCACCGTGCGCCCCGTCGAGCACCTCGTCACACTGCTCCAGGCTTCTCTGAGCTTCCTGGTGGCTTTCGTGAAGCTGGGAAAGCTTGCTTCTTGCCTGCCCAACAAAGACATTGCCAACATCAAGTGGGGTTTAGGGAAAATGTGTCAGGAGAGACATTTTTTCTCCTAATATCCAACCCCGAGCGATTCACGTGGCTAACTCAACTATCCATCTACAGAGCAGACGACCCCTGTTGCCACCATTTACGAGAAGTGAGACGGCTCATAAAGCAAAACAAGGCCCTTCTCACTGCCCGATGAGGCCCCTTTGTATCCCCGGCCCAAGAGAGGCACACCTTCATACCAAAGTTTTGTTGATTCTGAATAAACTGAAACGAAACAACATCCAGATTCACAATCTGCTCAAAGTGACAGACAACAGTCATTTTCCTTTATGGGGTTTTTATGACCCTTTTGCTCCTCCTTGTTCCGGGAAAAGGCATGTGAGGCCAGGGAAAGGAAGACAATCTTTGAAGTCAGACAGACCCACGAGTGCATCTTAACTGTCTCGTACACGCTGTGCGACCTCAGGCTGGTGACCTAACCTCTGTTTCCTCATCTCCAAAATGAAGAATCAGAGATTATGAGCAAACACCTCCTGCAGCGCTGGCGGGGTTGGGCATTAAGAAGCAGCAGCTATTACTACTACTACCATTATTATTATTACTAACAGACACTATATCTTGGCTCCTTTGTACATTATACAAACTCTAAGGGCTGGAAGGGAAAGATTTAAGACAATCCTACAGATACTAATTAACAACAAAGCACAATATAGGGTATAAAATCCCTGTGTGTCTGTGATCAACTTTTGTCTGTAAACTGGCAAAAAGACCAAAGAGGTTGAATCAGTCAAGAAAGGCAGCACGATCAGCCATTTTGATATCACCAAGGGCCAACATCACCCTACTCTGTAGATGGGACACCCGAGGGCCGGCAAGGAGGCCTTCGCCATTATGTAATGGGGAGCAGGAAACGAGCCCTCCCTCTGCCGGCAAGCAGCGGCTGCAGGCCTCAAGGCCTTCGCACCCAGGCTGGACGAGGTAGGGGCCCAGGCAGCTTGAAGAACTGGAAGAGGGCCAGGCGTGGGGTGATGCTCATTACAGGGCGGGGCCTGAGATGCACAGGCCTTCGAATTGCATGGGGACAGAGGTGCTAGAACCTTTCTCTGACCTTGTCCCTCTCACTTGTGTGAGGACTGGATGCTGAGGGCGTTTCCTGAACCCAAGGCTCTCACCAAGTGAGCAGTTAATGCCCTTGCCCAGCCCCTGGCTGCTCCCCGAAAATGACGTGCATTTAGGAGGGAAGTGGAAGAAGGCCAGTCAACATGATGCTGGAACCCATGCTGGGGGTCCTCGCACCTCAGCTCCAGGCCAGTACAACAGCTTCCAAGAAGAGAACCTAATGTAAATGAGGTGGGGGCGAGCAAAGGAAACAAGTGGCCATGGCACAGACACTGGGGCCCACCGGAGAGACACACTGACATGACAGCTCATGACAACTACGCCGCTTGACAGGAGACCCCAGAAGACCCTGGGCAGCAACCAGCTGTGGCAGGCCCCGCCCCCAGGGAGACAGATACCTGGTTGATTTCCTCTTGTGTGGATTTCAGAGATTTGATGATGGTTTCCAGTTGAACTTTCCCAGCCTGAATGCTCTGCTCCAGCTGGGTCTCCTCCTGCTGCAGCCGATTCAGCTCAGATTTGGCCCGGTTCAGGTCATCTTCCTGGGACTTGAGGTCAGATTCCTGAGACTGGATCTGGGTTTTCAATGATGAAATCTGAAATGGGATGAATATGACTCGAAGGAAGAATTCTGGTCAAGTTCCTGGAACAAGCTAACTCAGGGGGGTGGACACCAGCCCGAAGCCCAGACACCTGGCTTCGTTACAGGGCCCTAGCGTCATGCCCAAAACAAAGACAGAAATGACAAGGTAGACATGCTCACCCCATGTGACCAACAGAAGGTCACTTTGGGATAAGGAGGAATGCGACCTGGGATAAGCACAGGCAACCTCTCTGCCCCCAGGGGCTAAACATGCCCCGATTAGGCCTCAGAGGGGGACATAAGGGTTTTACTATCTGCCAAGGCTGCGCCCTTCCTGCTTTGCAACCAGCAGTAAAGACACGAGAGGAGAGAGAGAGGCAGGTTCTACTGCTGTGCTGTAGGGAACAGGCCAGGGAGAGGTGTCCACACAGACATGCTCATGGGGACCAAGGCCACTCACTTGGACGACTTGGGGGTGAAACTGAGGTCACGCCACAAATGCTTGGACACTGTTCCCAATGATACGGTCAACTACTCTACTAAAGCAGCAGGACGTCTCGGCTTCATGTGTCAAGGTCATCGTGAGCCCAGAGAAGGCTGCAGGAAGCCCCACCCATGCTGGGCTCGGTGGGACTCACCATCTGAGTCTCATCCTGGCACTTCTGCCTGACATCACTCAGCATGTCCCGGAGCTTGGCCTTCTGCTGGTCCATTTCGTCCAGGCGGTCTTGGGCATCCTGCTTCTGAGCCTCTAGCTCTTGCAAACTGCTTGTTTCCCGGTCTAAATCATTTTGTAATTCCTAGGGAAGAGTTGTGTGAATTTCCTTGAGATTGCTGAGACGGGCCACATCCAAGATAACACAGTCACAGCCTGGGCTGGAGCCCCCAGGATGTCCTATAAAACTGCCCCCTGGTCCGGGATCCTGCACACGCCCACTTCACGAAAGCATGCATCTTGGCTTGGCAGCCCTGGCTCACTCTCTCACTAAATCCCTCAGCAAATATACACCGATGGCCTAAGAGAGGCCAGGAGCTGGGCGAGGGGCTGGGTTCCTGGCAAGAAGGTCTCCAGGGACACGTGGTCAGGGTGGAGAGAGGTGTCACCCAAACACAAATGAACTGGGATGAAAGGCACAAAGAGACAGCATGTGTGCTGTCTGCTGGGGGCACGGGGCACTGACATTGCCTGGGCAGAAAAGACCCCCATGGAAGCACCACTTAGGATGCACCCGAAGGATGAGCAGGCGGCAGCGAGGAAAAGACCCAGGAGGAAAGAGACCTGGTGGAGGGGGCCGCAGGGGCCCCAAGGAGGGGAAGGGGGTGTCCTGCTCCAGCTGGAGCCGAGGGCAGCAGGGGCCGCGCCAAAGAGACTGACTTGCTCCTGCATCAGGCAGCCCCGCAGGATGTCCCAGTATGGGAGTGGGATGTGGCGTCTCTACATGGCTAAGCTCCTGCCAGAGGGCAGTTCCACCAAGACCGTCAGTGCGGGCATCCTCAGCCCCAATGACCACACTCGGAGGAGAAGAATCCTAAAGGTGTATGGGCACGTGAACCATGCAACATCTGGAAACAATGCACATTTCCACGCGGAGGGGCTGGCCGAGAGCACGCAGTACCGTGCACCTCAAGGGATACTGCCCCTTGCGCTCCGGAGTGACAATGTGATGCGAACGAGGCACACAGCAGAGCACACATGTGCGTCACACACTGGCTGTGTGCACTGTGCAAACAGGAGGGGGAGAACACGCATAAACGTCGCTCCTTAGACACACATGACCCTTCTGGAAGGCCTTGCGGGAGCTAATGGATTACACCTCTCAGGCACCAAAGGGGAGGGCGGAGGCTTCTGGCCCTCTGCTCTCCCACAAGGCAAGCAGCTCCTCACACGTCTCACAACTGAAGCAGAGCTAATGGACGGGCGGGGGGAGGCCTGGGGCAACAGGGCCAGCAGGGCAGCAGGGATGGGACCTGGGCCTGGGCGAGGTGGTGGCTGTGGGAATCAAAGGAGGGATGGACTTGAGGGGACCCCTGGGAGTAAGGGAGGGTGGCATGGTGAGGTCGATCCCCAGGGCTGGCATGGGCTTGGGGACCGGTGACATCTCAAGAGAAAACTCTCTCCCTGCTTTGAGGCCAAAAATGTCACAGCTTTCTCCTCCCTCAACAGCTAAAATGCACCTCTGAGTTATTCTGGGGGGCTGGGTTCTCTGCTCCCCAGTCTCTTCTGCCTTTAACTCGAGGAGTGGATCTTGAGGCTGCCAAGTTTGGGGAAGAAAACACAGACTCTGTGAAAGGGGGCTGGTGGTAGGGAGTCCAGGACATGGGTTTGCCTCATCTGAGGGAAGGACGAGTGATGGGGGAGGGGGCACAAAGGACGGAGGAGGGTGAGGCCTAGGGGGGTAGCCTGGGACAGCGCGTGGCAAACAGCCTGGCACATCAAGAAATCTGGGCCTCACTCTGTAACGGAGAAGACAACATCAAAGGCCTCTGCAGGGAACAAGACTCGCCAGCTAGCGGTCAGGAAGGCACAGGGTCAGAGCAGGGGAGGTATCCAAGCAAAGAGAAGACCGAAGTAACCAAACCTACAGACTCATCACAATCCCACCAGAATCCGAGCTGGCTTCTGTGCAGAAACTGACAAGCCAATCCCAAAATTCACAATGAAATGCAAGGGATCCAGAATAGACAAAACAATCCTGAAAAAAGAACCAAGTTGGAGGACTCACACTCGCTGATTTCAAAACTTACTATAAAGCTACAGTCATCAAGACAGTGTGGTGCTGGCACAGGGAGAGCCATACAGACCAACGGGATGGAACTGAGAGTCCAAAAGTAAACCCACACATCCAGGGCTGATTGATTTTTGACAATGGTGCCAAGACCATTAAATGGGAACAGAACAGTCTCTTCAATAGATGGTCCTGGAACAACTGGATCTCCACAGGCAAAAGAATGGAGCTGAACCCCTACCTCACACCATATGCAAAATTAACTCAAAATGGATGATCACAGACCTAAAGTAAGAGCTAAAACTATAAAACTCTTAAAACAAAATGTGGGGTAAATCTTTCCGACCTTGGATTTAGCAATGGGTTCTTAGATAGACACCGAAAGCAAGAGCAAAAAATAAGAATAAACTGGACTTCCCCAAAATTTAAAACTTTTGCGCTTCAGAGGACACCATCAAGAAAGTAAAAAGAGGGGCCGGCCTGGTGGCACAGCAGTTAAATGCACACATTCCACTTTGGCGGCCCAGGGTTCGCCGGTTCAGATCCCGGGTGCAGACATAGCACTGCTTGGCATGACATGCTGTGGTAGGCGTCCCACATATAAAGTAGAGGAAGATGGGCATGGATGTTAGCTCAGGGGCAGTCTTCCTCACCGAAAAGAGGAGGATTGGCAGCAGTTAGCACAGGGTTAATCTTCCTCAAAAAAAAAAAAAAAAGAAAAAGAAAGTGAAAAGACAACCCACAGATGGGACACAATATTTGCAAACCACTTATCTGATAAAGGACTTGTATCTAGAAAATATAAAGAACTCTTACAACTCAGCTATAAAAAGACAACCCAATTAAAAAATGGGCAAAGAATCTGAATTGACTTTTCTCCAAAGAAGATACACAAATAACCAATAAGCACATGAAAAGATGCTCAACATCATTAGGGAAAGCAAGAGGAACAATGAGATACCACTCAACCTTCACTAGCAAGACTATAAGAAGTGGGAAATAACAAGCGCTGGCGAGGATGCAGAGAAACTGGAACCCTTATGCATTGGTGGTGGCAACCTAAAATGGGGCAGCCCCTTTGGAAAACAGTCTGGCGGTTTCCCAAAAGGTTAAAGAGAGAGTTATCATATGACACAGCAATTTTACTCTCAGGCATATACCCAAGAGAAGTGAAGTCATCAGTCCACACAAAAACTTGCACATTAATGTTCATAGCGGCGTTATTCACAACAGCCAAAAACTGGAAAAACCCAAATATCCATCAACTGATGAATGGATGAATAAAATGTGGTCCAGCCAGACAAGAAGTATTATTCAGCCATAAAAAGGACTGAAACCCTGACACATGCTGCAACATGGATGAACCCTGAAAACATCACACTGAGTAAAAAGCCAGACACAAAAGGCCACATGCTGTGTGATTCCATTCATACACAATGTCCAGAACAGGTAAATCCATGGAGACAGGGAGCAGATTAGCAGTTGCCGGAGGCTGGGGAGGGGCTTGGGGAGCAACTGCTGACGAGGACAGGGTTTCTTTTTGGGTGACAGAAATGTTCTATAACTGATCGTGGTGATGGTTGGACAACGATGTTCACAAAATAAAAACCACTGGATTATACACTTTAAATAGGCAAATTATACAGGTTGTGAATTATATCTCAGGAAAGCTGCTGTTATAAAAATAACACAAAACAAAAAATCAGGCAAAGATGCCGCAGGCCCTCACCAGGAGGTTGGGATAGAAAGAGAGACGAGAGATTCCCAGGCAGAATGGGGAAGGGGGACCATGTGGACAGGAGGACTGTGGCGGCTGAGGCTTCCGCTGCTTAAAACTCAACATCAACTGACCTGAGGACCAAGGCCTCCTACTCCACGCTGGGCCCTGACCGCAGCCTCTGTTAGCGGGCACGGGGTGTGAGCTCCTGGCCTGACCCACCTGGGAAAAGGCAGCAGGAACCAAAGTCAAATCTGGTTTTCATAGGGGAACTTTAAAAAACAAAGCGTTCTGTCCCTGACCAAGGAGCTGCCACCATACCCTGCAGCAGAGCCCTGTCCTGGCCTGTTTACCAATGAGGCCCCCACGGAACAGAGGCTGGCCTGGCTGGCGCTGGGGCCCCTCCCAGCTCTGGGGGGATGTTCAGGTGCACACAGACCCCAGCATCTCCAAGGCTGTGGGTGTGCACTGTCAGAGCCCACCAGCCAGGGCTCCGGGTGGCCTTGCCAAGCCTGACGCAGACCAGAGAAGGCAGCACCTCTGACATTAGAGCAAGTCTCTGCAAAGACCGACGGCTTCCTCAGAACCACCTGGGGGCAGGGCCCAGAGACCAGGGACTGGTTTCCCTGGTAGTTAAAGGACACCGCAGCACCCAGAGCCTTGGGGCCAGGATGTAATCCGAAGCTTGTCCAGGGCGACCCAGACACAACGGGAAGGAGAACCGCCCAGGCAGTCATGTGCCGAGGCTGAGGCTGAGGAAGGCGAGGCCGGCTGCACCTCCCCAAAGGACTGAAAGGCCGGAGGGGAAGTGACGCAGTCACGAGGCTCAGTGTCTGAGGGCTCAGTTCTTGGACACAGGTGGGAATGAAAGGGCTGAGGTGAGAATAAAATGGCAGGATGAACATACAAACCTTCAGAAAAATACAGTCGCTTTACCTGTAAGCTGGTCTTATAACTGAAGGAGCTCATTCGAGCAAAAAGCACTTAATATCATGGGGCAGGCCAGTCCCTGCCTTCTGATCCAGAACATTCCAGGAGACCATATAAGGACCAATCCTCACTGCCAACACGCAGAGATGAGAAACCAGGAAAGAAGGGTGTGGACACAGCACAGTGTGAAGTGATGAGAGTCCTGAAGAGGGGTGGGTACACCCACCCCACCTTGCCTACAGACCACAACTACCAGAGAGGACATTCCAGACTGCGTGGCGGGCAGACATCACGTGCCATCTACTACGTGTCTCACGGAGTCCTCTAGCCCCTTGTGTGTGTGGGGTGGGGAGGGCAGCCTACCCAGCACCCCATGAGCCCAACTGAGTTGGGCGCAGCTTCTCCTGGCCTGCTTGGGTCCACAGCCCAGGAGGTGGCCCAGAAAGAACCAGCCACTCACGCAGCACACACTTCAGCCAGACATAGCTCTTGGCCCTGCACAGAGTAGCCCATGCACTGATCCTTGTTGCCACCCCAGCTGGGGAGATGGAAGCTGGGAGCTGAGCCACCCATCCAGGTCACCGAGGGAGGACTGGAGTCCTGACTCTTTGGCTGTGCTCCTCTTTCCCCCTCCCAGGCTTGGGAGCACTCACAGCCCCCAACAGAGACCACCAGTCCCAGATCAGTCTCACTCTGAGAGTCCCCAGACAACTGGAGTCCCCTCACGGTGACAATGCCTTCTCCATCAATTCAAACCTGAGACAGCACGGGAACCTATGTCTCTTCAAGGGCTTGGCGCCCAGGCGCTGACTGCTTTGCTCCCGGCACAGCCTCCCCTCTCCTCAGATGACGGAGAACAGCAGGGGCGGTGCCCTTGTGAGCACTGAGCACAGGCCAGAACCTCTGTTCCAGCCCCACAACCCAAGAAAGTAGAACAGCCATTACGAACATCACACAATGCCCGAAGATGTTAAAGTAACTGCCCAAGGTCACACAGCTGCTAAGGAGAGCTGGGTTTGAGTCCAGGCACTCGGACCACCACAGTCTCTGCCAGCCACTAGGAGACACTCCATGTAGGACTGCCCTGAGAATAGGTTAGAGGCCACTGTCTGAAACTCAAAAACTCAGGCTGAGTGACAGAAGCCAGACACCAAAGGCCTTTGCTGTAAGACTCCACCCATACGAAACATTCAGAACAGGTAAATCCACAGAGACAGAAAGCAGATTAGTGAAGGCCAGGGGCTGGGGGAGAGAGGACAGGGTTTCCTTTCGGGGTAATGGAAATGTTCTAGAACTAGATAGAGGTGACAACTAAGCAACATAATAAATAGGCTAAAAATCACTGAGTTGTACACTTTAAAATAGTGAATTTTACAGTACGTGAATTATCTATCTTAATCAAAAGAAAGAAGCGCCTGACTACAGCTATAGCAAATTTACAAACTTTACTTGGAAGCCCCACAAGCTCAAGTTTCCAACAAGCGCAGAGCCACCTCCCCTTTGCCCCGTCCACACCACTGACAGGGCTCCCTGCGCTGTATCTGACACAAGGGCCACGTGACCAAACGCAGAGCGTGCTTACCTGGACCTCGCTGGTCTTCTGTCTGATGGCCTCTTCCTTTTCTCTAATGTCTTGCTCCAGTGAGTATTTCTCCCTGAGAGTTTAAAAAGATTTCACAAAACACAGGTAGAGTGAGTCGACCATCACTGTGGTGTGTCTTCCCCACCGCATCTTCTCAAGACCCAGCTCCATCCATTCCACAAAGACCCACCTCGGCTGACCCCTCCCAGTGGGGCTGGAAGTGTAGGAATGACCCCCAGTGACCTTCATCCCACGTAATCCCCTCCCCTTCGAGTGTGAGTGGAAACTGCAAACGATGAGGCGTCCCTCCCAGCATGGCCACGCAGCCCTTTAAAGCAGAGCGTTTTCAAAAAGGAAGTCAGAGTGATGCTCAGGGTGGGAGGACTCAGCAAGCCCCTCCTGACAGTGAAGATGGAGGGGCCTCTCCAAGCAGAACGTACCCTGGCCACACCGGGCATGGAGAGGAGACCCCAGACCCACAGCCACAAGGAAGCGAATTCGGATTCTCCCCTGGCTCACACGATACCTTGACCTCGGCCCTGTGAGACCCTGAGTAGGGAGCCCAGTCGAGCCTACCTAGGCTTCTGGTCTACAGAGCTGTGCACTAACAATTTGCATTGTTCTAAGCCACTACGTTTTTGGTGATTTGTTACACGGCAAGAAAAAACTAATAGTCTCCAAGTCCTATATGCACTGGCTCACTGACGGGCAAGTGTCTCCAGCTCTGAAGCACCAGGGACATGCCACGAGAGACCCTGCCTTCACGGAGCTCACAGGCCAGTGAGGGCAAGAGAAGACAAGTCAGTGCACGAATGAATGTAACGTAAGGGGCACAACAGAAACCCCATGGGACAAGGAAAGGGGGTGGGGGACCATCTCACAGAGGATGGCCAGCGTAGGGTGGCTCTCTGAGGAAGCGACCTGCGAATGCAAACCTGGTAGAAAAAGGCTCTAGTCAAGAGGAAGGAAAAGCTTGGCTGGGGGAGCCACATTGAGAGCTTTGGAGGGATGCAAACCGGGGTGGGGAGTCCCAAGGCCTGGCAGCAAGAAGCGGCAGTGAGGGTCTCTGGCTCCTGCAGCTGCCCCCTTGCAGGAGGCTGCGGCTGGCGCGGCGCACACCGGGCACTTGAGCAGGGGGGCCCTGCCCGTCTCCTCAGCAGCACACAGCTCCCCAGGCAGCAACCAGCTTTGCTCTCCTCCTTATGGGCCAGATGTTTGTGTCCTCCCGCTTTTCATATGCTGAAACCCTAACCCTCAATGTGATGGTATCAGAAGTGGGGCCTTTGAAGGTGATTAGGTTGTGAGGGTTGAGCTCCCATTAAAGAGATCAGTGTTATTATAAAAGTGACCTCAGAGAGCTGCCTGGCCGCTTCCGCCATGTGAGGACACAGCAACTAGATGGCCATTTGTGAATCAGGAAGTGGACCCCACCAGACACCAGATCTGCCATGCCTCCATCTGGACTTCCAGCCTCCAGGGCTGTGAGAAGTAAACGTCTGTTGTGTGCGCCCCCCAGGCTGTAATGGTTTGTTACAGCAGCCTGAAGGCAAGAAGACACTCCTCTTGTGCCTAAAGGAGCTGCCTCAGTGGCAGGAACCTCCGTGGCCAACACGCCCTGCCTCCCCTATGGGGAACCCAGCACTTGCACAATGACAAGGTCTTCTTTGGGACATTCAGGTAAACATAAAACTGTGAGCATCTGAATATTCATTTCCACAGCCTAAGAATGACCTAACAACACAACGTCCTCTTCAGAACAACCCCTCGTGCCAGGACCTAGGAGCCGGGGAGAGGCATGTTTCCCCACGCCCCCATGGGGGCCCCTGCAGGCCCGGCTGCTGCAACTCGGCACACACCTGCCTCTTTGCCTTCACCAGGAAACACTCCCTGAGCTGCCGGAGCCCACACAGCTGCAAAGAGGCAGCTCTGGCCTGACTCAGACACCACAGTCCCTTCCAAAACCCTGACCCTCGCATTACAGCGTGCCCTCCCTCCCCAATCTGCGGTCCTAATTAACGGCCGCCCAGGCTCTAGGACACCGGCCCACCGTCCTCACGGATCCTCTCAGCCTTGCCAGGCTGCACATGCTGATCTCTGGTTTGGAAATATGGCCCCTGTGAGCTGGCGACAGAACAGGAGCCAGCCTCTGGGCTGAGCATGAAGCAGGGAGTCCAGCTTCAGCAGGCGGCCGAGGCTGAGGCTTCGTGACCAGTCACCCACCTAACTGTCCCCCTCCAACGTCTGACCTGCCTTAGCTTCTCAGGGCTCTGCTCCACCAGGGGCGTAAACCACACCTGAGGGGCCTCCAGCTGAGAGCGTGATCCAGCCCACGTGCGCATTTTCATTTTGGTCAGGTAAGCACTCCCTTTCCCATGGAGGGCAAAGCACCTTTAAGTCCTACTCGGTGCCACTCAAAGCACAGAGTGTGCCCTTACCCAGAATTAACTGGAAAGAGCACGCTGCTCTGAAGAGGATCACAGGGCTATACAAGTGGATATACTTCTTTATGCTGGACTCCAAGAGTGCAGACAGCCCATCCAAAGCCTCATTTCCAGATGGAGAAACCAAAGCAGAGGTGTAGGGAGTGGAGCTGGAGACGTGGCCACGAGGCCTCTCTCTCACAGTTTAGCTGTTGGTGCTAAGCCACTAACTTGCCATCTGAGACTTGGTCACTTTACGGGTCGAGGGATGACAAGGCCTTCCTGAGTCGAGAGGGTGGCTGAGGCTGCCTAGCAACACCCTGCCTGAGACCCCCCAGCCCAGACTGCCTCCGACTGAGACCGTCATTATTGGAGCTTGTGGAGTCAGTTCACAACTTGGGAATTTGCGTCCCTCCCTTTCTGCTGAACAAACTTGTCATGGTCAACTTTCCAAGTGTTTCATAAGACCCTGACACTTCCGACCACAATCCGGGACAGGGTTCGGGGGAGACTCGGAATCTGCGGGGACGGAGCCACTCCAGCATACCGCTGTAACTGGGCGATCTCTTGACTGATGTCATCAAGTTCCTTCACACCAGTGAACTCCCCCGATCCAAGGGAACTTGAACCGTCCTGGAATCAAATTCAGACACAGAATTACCGACGAGCAAGCTGACCTCCCCGCACAGCAAGAACTAGTAGGTCTTAGCATGAGGGGTAAAGCCATCTCCCTTCAGCCCCCATCCTGGGGACTACCAGGCAGCCCAGTCAGACGCCTGGGGCCCCTGGTGAAGGTTGGGTCACCCACGCGCCCCCTGCTCACAGGCCGCTGGCGCCACCTGGTGGTGGGCCGGGGGAAGGGCACAAACACGACAGGCTCCCCAGCTACTCACTGGAACCGGAGTGCCTCTCTCGGAGGGCGGGAGCATGTCCGGCGAGAGGACCTGAGGAGGGTCGATGCCTTTACTGACCTTCTGCTGAATGAAATACATAGCTAAGGCGAACTGGTCTTTGCTTAACTTCCCCGTTTGCCTCGTATCGGCCAGGGCCCTGAGAGAAACGTGGGGATGCTAATTACACATCACAGGCATCCGATTCAGCCTGCGCCACGCATACAAGTCGCGAAACCCAGGCTTTTAAAAACTAGATGATGACGACGACAATAAAAACAAGAGGTCACAGCAGCAACTCCTCTTCTATTGAACACCCCACCGCTGGGGAGAAGTCCCTGCACCCCAGCCAAGCATCCTGCCCCAAGGCTGGTCAAGGAGGGGCTGTGACGGCAGGAGAGAGCTCCTGGCTTGGTTGGAGAGCCACCAAGCCCAACCTGCGGCGCCGAGGAGCCTGTCCCTTGGGAAGACCTCATTAGCAGCTAGGAGAAATACACCCGGGTCTTCACGGAGCGCGTGGACTGCGATGGTCCAGTACACAAAAGCCATTCCTGCGGAAACGGAAGCTCGGGCTGAGTACGCACGCTGGGCTCCTGCACCTGAGCCACTGGTTTTCCATGGGGACGACAAGAGCAGCATTGTGGGTTATCTCCAGGAGGGCTCGGGGCCTGGAAGGCCAGGCACGACAGCGCTACACAGCACAATCCCTCGCTGCTCAAGTGTCCCTGCCCGAGTGGCCTGGCGTCCGGGCAGACAGGAAAGGGAGGGTGCCTCACGCGGTAAGAACAAGGCCTCCAGGTCTGTGACCCACGCCCGCCCTTCGCTCCCTCGGCCCACTCCGCATGCACGTTCGCATCCGGCTGCACGTGCACTTCCCGCGGGCGCCTCGAAGCCCTTTCCTAAGGCGGAGCAGAGGAGAGCAGAACGTTCAGCGGACTTGGGCCCAGGGGGTGGGGCGATCCCGCCGAACGGTGATGATAGAGGCTCGGTGAGAAGCGGACTTGTTCTTGTCCTGGTTCGAGGGCAGGCTGTGACAATTTCACAGCGAGACCATTTCTCCTCCATCTGCCTGCGAGGGCCAGTCCTGCTTCGCTCGGCTCGGAAGGAGCGTGGGCTCCGAGGCCACGTGCCGGGAGCTCTGTCTGCAGCCGTCTGTGGCAGCCACCACGCTGCCAAGCAAGGCACCGGGCGCTCGTGTTCTCCCCGTGATCCCTCTCGGCACGCTCTCTCCACCTCAGCGATGTCCCCTCCCCTGGCCACTGGCAGACCATCGAGCCCATGGTCTTACTTCTGAGAGGTTACTGCTGAGCTCAGGCATCTGTCCCTTCCCTTTGCTCTTGCATGCAATGCCTCTGCGCTCCTTCTTTCAGTCCAAACATGTTCGTGATCTCATGCCATTACACCACTTACAGGCTGAGGTCTGTTAGAAATTACTTTCCCCGCACTGTCCCTTTATGTTATCTGGGGATGTGTCACCACCCTTGAATTCTGTGCACGTCCATTTCAGGGTGATAAAGGGGGCACTATGCTTTATCAGTTTTTAAAAGGGGGCACTAGATGTGAGGGGCCTGCACCAGGTTCTGGTGACTGGCTCTGGGTGTCGTGAGCTCCTTCAGAAGAAACGGCCCATTTTCTCGGGTGGAGGCCTCACCTCACAATGTGGACCTCTATCAACTATTGCTAAGGACGGTCATTTCCCCAAGTCACTCAGTAATGTGCTAAATGTCACAGCTCTACTTGGAGGGATCCATCTCTCCAGAATTATGTGGAAATTCTCTCCCTATAACCCCAAGTGAAGCCCTCTAAGGCTGGGGTTCTGGGGAGAAAGCTAGAAAGTGACTTCACCACTAGCCAGTTATAAACAGAGCCGCCCCGGCACTGTGAAGACTGCTCTGCCCAGCCCTGGAAGAAAGTGGGGCTGGCTCCTCCACTGGGCCCTGAGGTGTAGACCAGAGTGTTGCCAACAGCTCGCCCTCCCCCGGGAGCCAAGTCGTGGACCTGCAGAGGGCAGAGTCCCTAGAAGAGGCTGCCACAGCCCCGACTGCCCGGGCAGCCCTGCTGGAGCCCTCGGGATCCTTTCTGCACGCTCTCCCCAGAGGGGGCAGGGCCCAGCGCCTGCACCCCGACTGGCTGTGGGGAAGGCTGCTTTTCCCACTAGAACCAGCATAACCACCAGCAAGAACTGGTCCCCAGCTGTTAAAGCAGATCGCCCCAGAGGTCTCCAGAGGGATGAAACAGGAGACCCCTGCAGGAGGAGAGTGAACTGGCATGCATGGAATACAGGCTGCGGCCTTTATACTCATGCCTCGCTCGCCCCATCGGCCCGGCGAGAATAAAGGACCAGGCGGGCACGGAGGCCTATGCAGGGCTGCAGAGGCCCCCTGACTGCCCAGGCCCCCACCGCCCCCTCCAGTCCTTCACACAGCACAAGCCTCATTTCCACAGGGCTCCTCTGAGCCACCCACAACCCTCACTTCCATATAGCGTGGGCCCAAATGCTGAGGAGCAGATGTCCACCCATCTATCCTTACCATATGTGTGCTAGAAGGTTCTGGGTGAGGCCCGAGTGCATGAAGATCTCCTTCACCTCCTGGCCACTCACGTAGCCGTCCAGATCCAGGTCGGTCTTCAGGAATATCTCATCAAATCGCATCTTGTCTGCCACAGGCACCACCCAGGTCACTGTCGGCTGAAAGGGTTTTTAAAAGTTAATCCTCAAGCTTTTCATCACCTACAGATAGCCTCTATTAAAGTGCTTTCAGGCACGTTTTAGAAGAAAACCCTCCTCACAACTCCATGAGCCAAGAGAGCAGACAGGATCCGAGTTCTTTAATTGGGGAAACTGAGGCTGAGAGAAGTTAATGCCAAGGCGGTCATTCTCACCCAGTGGCTAGTCTGTGCCTTCCTCCACCCCATCACAGCACCCCAATCTCCCTGTGTGAAGAGGGAGGTAAAGATCCAGCAGGTCCATCCTCCAGAACCCTTCCATCCCCGCCACCTGGGGCATGAAGGGAAGCCAGTGATCTCTTTCCTGGAGGGGTTTCAAGTGGCCAGGCAAGACCCTGCTGACCACTCATCTCGGAAGGACCGCCTCCTGAGAACCAGCCAGGCACCCACGCCAGCCAGCCTTCCAGGTCCTTCATCTTCTGTCTGCAAACACTTCTCCACAGCTGCCAGCAGTGTTCTCGACGCCTGCAGCTCCAGGATGCTGTACTCCATTTTTCTTTGTCCCTGGCCCCACTCCGTGACACAGCAGCCCCCCTGGAAGGTGTTGGCGCGCACACAGCACTGACAGGCAGTGAATGAGACTGACGTGAAGAAGGCTTCTGCACTTCAGGTAGGCACTCAGGGCCCCTCGTGCTGATGGGGAGCCCAGGCCTTGACGAGCACGCCCACCACCTGCAAGTGCCGGGCCGCACCACTCACAAGGGCGCTGCTCCGGCAGATGGAGCTGAGAGCCCAGCGCAGCGCGACTCCGGCAGCGGCTCATGTGGCCTCGCACCACTTGCTCAAGTTTACTTAAGAAAGACAAATGCCCTCAGGGGTCCACCAGGACATGTGCACCTCCTAATGCAGAGGCGCCAAGGTCCTCGTGATTGCTAATTCTGGATGCGTTACCTCTGACCTTCGGCACCCTCACCACACCAAGTTTCACAGCATCTCTGTTCCTTATTTGACAAATTTTTCCTCATCTGCTTTTTCTGAACAAGTCTCCCTTGTTATCCAAGTCCAGCAGGATCCTGAGGCGAGCACCAGGAATCCAGAAAGCAAGTTTGGGAAGCCAGGGACACCACATTACCCAGATCGTGCCAGTTCTGGGGTTTGGGACAGGGAGTAGAATGATTGAGCACAGCAAGGAATTTATCACAAAATTTACCAAAATCTGTGGACCAAATTCAAACAGCAGGGGCTCAGGCAGCAAGCGTTCAGACTGAGAGAGATCTGTATTTTACTTGTCGCATTATGTGAACTCTGTAGGGGAGATGGAGAGGCAGCCATAAAGGAATCTAATGCAGAAGAGGCTTGCTGTCTTTACGTCAAGTGGCTGGAGCAAGCTGAACCTCAGATGCCAAGAGTCCCACAGAAGTAGTAGTCCTGGGTCAGGCAGGCTAAGCTGAGGGGGAGATGGGTTTCTGTGTCCCACTGGTCCCAGGAAATTACGACTCTGGGACAAGAGTCCTAACATTCCCTGCATGAATGAACTCACTGCCTGATTTTGGGGTCTCAGGGTATGTTGGCAGCAAGATCCCATCACCTACGTGGCTACAAATCCAACATGGGCCAGCCTTCTCCTTGGAGCTGGGTCTCCTGGCAAGGGCTGGCTTTAAGGCTCGCTCAGCAGCCACAGGCCCCTAGTGAATGGGAACAGACCCATGACTGGAAGGGGCTCCAGCCCACCTGGCGGGGAGGGCAGGACCAGGGCCCCAGGCAGGGAGTCACTGGCCTGGAGACGAGGGAAGTTGGGGAGGGGAGAGCATGGGGACTGTGAGTCCTCAGAAATGCCTGTTCTCATATCTGTAACTCCACCAGCTGCCCCATCCCTGGGGAAGGGGAGGCACACTCCTCCACTCCCCGACTCTGACAGTGGCCGGGGTAAAATGGGTCCAGTCAGGAGTGCTCCCAGGGTCGGGGGAGAGCCAGCAGATCACCAAAAAGGGGTTAGGAGGCTAGTCAACCTTCGGCACTCAGCAACTTCCACCCCACGTGCTCCCCCGTCGGTAAAACAGCACCACTAACCCGACCTACGGGGCTTAAGAACTCTGGGCAAGAATGTCGCAGACTCAAGGTGCTGGGTTGTCTCAGAAAACGAAGACAGCTCATACCGCTCTAAGTGACGGGCCTCAGCCCCCTCTCTGACCCCACTGCACTGCCCCTGGCTCAGTCTGCCTTGGCCTTTTTTCTGTTTCTAGAACACACCGAGGCTCCCACCTCAGAGCCTTGGCATGGGCTACTGCTCTGATGGCTTCTGTCATTCAGGCGTCAGCTCAGAAGGCCCTCCAGCCAGTGCTGTCTGCAGAAGCACGCCCCGTCCGCACGCCCACACGTCCAGGCCAGGCCCTGCACTGCTTTCTCGTGGCTGTCTGACCTTCCCCTGTTTATTGATGTGCTCATCATCTGTCTCCCTACAACAGGCAGGGCCTGCCTCAGGTCACCGCAGAGCCCCAGGAGGCGCTGAGCATGGCTGGTGAAGATGCCCGGGCTGGGCCATCCAGACACCAGCTTCTGAACACACAGCCACGTAAAACTCAACCGGAGCCTAGCTCCTGGTGGCCGTGCCTCTCCTCCTGGTGGGGCAGTGACGGGAGCTTAGAGGCCCTGTGACCAAGCCGCCTTGACCCTCTCTGATCTCTTTTTTTTTTTTTTTTTACTCTACGGTGCGATGCCTTGTTCTACAAGCTCCTTAAGAATGAGCCTCCTGAGTCGAATGCTTAACATTACCAATATGTCATGAGCAAGAGAAATCATCATCTGATCATGCGTTTCTCATTTTTATCATTCACATTCTGAAGTTGTGTTGTGGTGCCGGCTGGCCTTCTTCTTGTCACAATTCATTGCTTTGCTTTTGAAACCACAAATGAAGCAGAAGACAAGGCGTGATTCCAAGCGTAACTCTCGTTCACATTCTTGTATGTTTTTGACACTCTCAGAGGTACTGTTTTATAAAGAACCCACTGTGATGCTAAATTTGCCAGACAAAAAACTTTTTTTTTCCTGAGGAAGATTGGCCCTGAGCGAACATCTGTTGCTAACCTTCCTCTATTTTATATGCAGGTCACTGCCACAGCAACACCACCAACAAATGGTATAGGTCCATATCCAGGATCCGAACCTAGGCTGCTGAGGCAGAGCACACCGAACTTAACCACTAGGCCACAGGACAGACCCCAAGAAACGTCTTTTTTGATATATAAGATGCTGCCGTGCGGAGAGTCAGGAGCCCCCACATGTCTTCCTGACATGAGATGGATGCCTTCCTCATTCACTTGATCATTCAACACGTATTGACTGAGCATCAAGGTACCAGAGATTGTTTAGATGCTGAGATTATAACCAAGAACTAACTCTGCTAACACAGGGGTGGGGAGGCAGTGAGACACATTACATAATGAACTATACAACAGGCCAGGCATGGGAAATCTAGAAGAATGCAGGGTGGAGGGAGGAGGGCTAGTGGGCAGGGCCCCAGACACGCTGGGTGTCAAGTACAGTCATACCAGGCTCCCCTGAGGAGGTGCCCTGCAAGCAGAGGCCTCACAAAATGAGGTGCCGTGGTGCAATCTGGGGATGCACCCTCCAGCAGAGGGACTGCCTGAGGCAGGAGGGGCAGAGACATGAGGAGAGAACCTGGATGTGCTGGGTGTGTTTGAGGAAGGGTGGTATTTATGTGCAAGTGAATGGGACAGTTCATTCTGAATCCCTGTTGCTACGGAATGAATATTTGAGTGCCCTCCCAAATTCGTATGTTGAAACCTAACCCCCAATGTGATGGTGTAGAAGATGGTATAGAAGCACCTTTGTGAGTTGCTTAGGTCATGAGGGAGGGGCTGTCAGGAAGGGGATTAGTGCCGTTATAAAAGGGGCCCAGAGAGCTCCCTCGCCACTCCCACCACGTGAGGACACAGTGAGAAGATGCTGTCCCTGAGCCAGGAAGAGAGCTCTCACCGGACATGGAATCTGCTGGCGCCTTGATCTTGGGCTTCCAGCCTCCAGAACTGAGACAAATAAATGTGATACCAGCCCTGATATTGGTTCCCCAACATTAAACCCAGCATATATGGGGTTAGAACCAAAACACTCATTCCCTGCTTACTTCCTGGCTTCAGAATCCACTATTCTCCATGGAGACAGACACAGCCAGGGACAAGCACCTGGATTCATTACCTCCTCCCAACAAGGAGCTACAGGCTGGCAGGAAAGCTGCTGACCAGCAAGGTCAGAGGCTCCCTCCTCTCTGTAAGTAGTCTCAAGGCCAAAGACAGGCTGGTGGGAAAGCTCCAACCAGCAAGACCATATGCTCCCCCTCTCCTACCTAAAACCACAAATAAAAACCCTTCCTTTTAGCTTTTTGGGGAGTTTGGGATCTCAGCGTTAGCTGCCCTTTCTCCTTGCTCAGCACCGTGCAATAATAAAATTCCTACTTTCTTCCACTACACCCGGTGTCAGAGATTGGCTTGCTGCGCCACGGGTGAGCAAACTCAATTCAGGCTTGATATCAAATGTCTGCTGTCTGTAAGCCCCCTGGCCTGTGGTACTCTATTATAACAGCTCAAATGGACTAAGATACCTGTTGTTAAATTTTTTTTCATTTAATCACCAATTTTACCCTTTTGGGGTCACAAATTACCTTCTCCCAAGAAACATCCTGCTGGGACTCTACACGGGGAAATAGCTGCTTTGAGAAGTGGCCTCACACAGAGGGCCCTGTACCTGTGTTTGCTTAATGCCGTGCTTAGGAGACAAGCTTCCTGTGCTGTTCAGGCTGCTGACACTGCCATGGGAAGGTGTGGAGCGGAGGCTGTCTTTTGGCGGAGGGCTGGCAGGCAGGACGGGCACAGCACCTGGGAACACTGTCTTCTTTCTCTTGGAAGGTGGGATGAGGGACGGGGGCAGGACGGCGGGCACGGGCTCCTTCTCAAGAGCTCGGTACACCAAGTGCATCGCCTGTGAGTGAAAAGAGAAGCATGCTCAGGTGGCAAGTCCCGGGCCGCGGGCGGGAGGGCAGCCCTTTCAGGGCCTGCATTGATGTGACAAAGACTGCTCTTTGGAGGTTGCTTCCAAGCTGAACAGAGTAAAAATAAACCTTTTCTGTTGAGCTATGCTTCCAATCCATAATTTTTCAAGACATTTGTTTAATCACACGAGACTGAAATGAATACACAAGGAATTCAATCATGCCAGACTCCACACGTCCCGTCCCCCACAGGAGGGTCACCAGCTCTAGGACTGACAACTTCCAAAGTACTGGAACTTGGAAGTCTAAAGACACGACGAGAGCTGCATGTACTTCAAGATATTTGGGAGACTCAGAAAACAATGGGAAAGGGCTTGCCTTGCCCAGGAAGGGCAGCACTCCTGTTCAAAGCAGGCAAGAAAAGGAAACTTTGTCTAAAACAAGGATTTAAAAGTCTGTTTTAAAATGTAAGAAAATCAAACCAAAATTACAACCCTTTACACTTCAAAATATTCCTTAAGTTGCTATTTGCAGAGAGAACAGATCGTTAACATAGGTAAAATTTACAGTCTCTTAAAAACTCTACAAAATGTTAGATGCAGCTAGTGATGAAAAGAAACACACAATGACACAATTCTAAGAGTCATTTCTAGAAGAACATAAATCTTGGCTGAAATGATGAGAAATGATAAAAACAAAACAAAAACGTAAACCCAGGCAGTAAGAAGACAGGTGTTCATGGGTTCACCATAGGCCAAGTGCCCCATTCCTGGGGACCACCCCCAGAGCCGTGCAATGACACGAACACCTAAAGTCAAGTGCGGTCAAAAGAAACGTACAAAACGAATAATGAGGTGCTGAGGGAAGGGGGAGTTAGTGTTTAACGGGGACAGAGTTTCAGTTTGGGAAGGTGAAGAGAGTCCTGGAGACGGCTGCTGGTGACGGCTGCACAACAGTGTGGTTGTGCTTAACACCACTGAATTGTCCACCTAATAGTGGTGGCGATGGTAAACTGTAAGGTGTATTCTACCATAATAAAGAAAGAAAGAATGTACAGCCAGTAACACAAGAGGGTGATGGAGAAACACGGAAAATGCTCAAAGTCAAAAGGCAGAACAGAGTCGACGTGTAGCAGGAAAAACACATACAACTGAGTACTGTTGGATGTAAAGGATTATGAGGAAAACTGCAAGAGAAATTGATAATTTCCCTGGAAAATGGTTTAAATTTCACTTAGAAATTTAAAATCTCAAAGGCTTTACACACATATAGTACGATAATCAGCAGCTTCAATTTGTGTATATATTGTAAAGTCACATTTTAAAGATGTTAAAATTCCTAGAACAGAAGATCTATCTTAGGGATATTGTATTTCATCATTTTTCTATAACTTAGAAATTCCCAGATCATTCAGACTTTTTGGGGTGTGTGCGGGGGATTGGTTGAACTTAATTACTATCTATTAAAGTGCTGTCCTTCACTACAAGGGACTGCTTTATTCTACTTTGAGATTTAATGGCACGAGGTGAGTGAACACATCCCATGAATAGGTGAGAAAAGTCAAAGATGTATGTGACGTGGAGGGAAAGGAGGAGGAACAGAATGACACAGGCCCAGGGTGAGGAGGGCAGGCGCGGGGGGAAGTCAGCCCAGCCCACTGGGAGGCTGGAGGCAGGTGGAGAGCTGCAGGGGTGTGGAGGGAGGGCAGCTACGTGAGGAGATGGCCGACTGGACACACAGACCCACAGCTGCCACTAAAAGGAGAAGAAGGTGGGAGTGCCAGGGCTCTGGCACAGACAGCAGCAGATGTGGAAGTGGATGTCAGTGTGCTGGGGCATCTGTAGGCCACATCTAACGTACACCTACTTCCCACCTCTGTGTGCTGAGAGGGCCTGGAAGCATTGGCACCCCAGGAGCACTGAACACCCCAGCACCCAGATCTGATTTCTAACACTATTCTCCAGTACGAGGTACTGGGGCTCCCTGGAGAAACAGTGGACGATGTGGCTGGGGCAGGGAAGGTTCAGGGGGAGCCAGGAGCATCTTACCGTGCCAAAAGGAAGCAAGTACTCAGAAAATGATGGGGTGTGACCAAAGGACAAAGGAGCCAGATAGGAGGAGCTCCCACTGGGCAAAATAAATCCCGCCACGAAAGGATGAGAAACCTCTGGACGCATTTATGAGTCCACTCTGAATGAACAAATTCCTGACGGTAGAAGGCCAGCTAGAGAATGTGTGAGGAATGCCAGAGTTAGAAGATCGCCAGTTAGCAACCAACACAATCCTAACTGATTCAGGTGAGGCTCCTGGGAGGGTCCAAGAACCAGCAGGGGAGTTGGAAGGTTAAGGGGGTGTTTAGTCTCCACGTGTCTCCCACGAGACTGCGCACAGGGAAGCGAGTGACTCCGCAGGGAGAAACCCTGACTATGACCAAGGTCGACGTCGTGCTAATGATGCACAGTAAGACATCAAACGCCCTACTGATGTCGTGTGTCCCAAGGAGAGTGCACAGCACCTCAGTGGGGACCTCCCCCACGAAGGGCATGGCCTGGATTGTCATGAGGAAAGAGCAGACAAGCCAGCAGCAAGCGGCCTGCATGCTTCAAAATGCCCATGCGGCCAGGAGACATGACGACAGACGAAAAGCTGCTCCAGAGCAGAGGGCCCGCAAGAGACGAGGCTGCAGCCTCCTTTGCTGGGAAGGATGTTTTGGGGACAACTGGCAAAATCTGAATAATATCCTTAGATTAGATAAGATAATGATAATGTAATAATTGATAAAGTAATGTATCAAATACAAGATCTGACACATCATAATAGATACTATAATAAATTAGAGGACGTCGACATGCATTTCCCTGATTTTGAAATAGACAGTGGTTATGTAAGAGAGTTCCCTGGTCTTAGGAAATACACACTAACGTATTTCAGGATGAAGAGGGATGGTGTCTGCAACTTACCCCAAAACGGTTCAAAGGAAAAATCCGTGTGTGTGTATACATACACCCACGTGGAGAGAGAGGAAGGAAAAAGCAACCCACTCAAAAAATAACCCTGGGGAATCTGAGTGAGGAAGATTCTATACTACTGCAACTTTTCTTTAAATCCAAACTATGTCAAAATAAACACTTGAAAAATTAAAGAAAAGAAGAAAAAAACCGAATCCAGAACCCCTCCCCAAGCAGAACCCCTCCTTCCTCAGCAGAGTGGGAAGGAGAGTCCCGGCAGGGGCCTACCACAGCAAACTCATCTCTGTCCAGGTGTCCATCCTTGTCGATGTCACTGAGGTCCCAGACCTGCAAGACAAACAGCAGCAAGGCTTACTAGGTGGTTACTGAGGCTCATTGGGGGGTACCGAGGCTCAGTGGGGAGGTACCGAGGCTCACTGGTGGGTATCGAGGCTCACTGGTGGGTACCGAGGCTCACTGGGGGGGTTCCAAGGCTCACTGGGGAGGTACCAAGGCTCACCGGGGGGATACCGAGGCTCACTGGCGGGTACTGAGGCTCACTGGTGGGTACCAAGGCTCAGTGTGAGGATACCGAGGCTCACCGGGGGGTACCAAGGCTCACTGGGGGGTACTGAGGCTCACTGTGTGCGTACCGAGGCTCACTTGGGGGTACCAAGGCTCACTGGGGGGTACTGACGCTCAGTGAGGGGTACCGAGGCTCAGTGGGGGGATACCCAGGCTCACTGGGGGGTACTGAGGCTCACTGGGGGGTACCAAGGCTCACTGGGGGGATACCGAGAGGCTCAGTCAGGGGATACCAAGGCTCACTGGGGGTTACCGAGGCTTACTAAGGGGGTACTGAGGCTTACTGAGGGGAGTACCAAGGCTTACTAGGAGTGGGTACTGAGGCTTACTGAGGGGGGCACCAAAGCTTACTGTGGAGGAAAGGCCCATGGGTAGCAACGGCACCAGCCAGAACTCAAGATTCTGAGGGCTCGGAGCATAGCAGAGTTAAAGAGAGGCGATCAAAATGCATTTAAGAACCAGTCTGTAGGTTCTCTGAAAAACCATCATCTGATGAAGTACTCAATTCCAAGATCCTTTCTGCCATGCTATGTTCATTTTCTCTAACAAACTATTGTGATTATAATCACATCCACCCTGATTTTTAGATCATGTGGTTTTGGTGCAGGTGTTGCTCTGCACACAAGCCCTGCCCACTACAGACACACACACACACACGTGCACAAATCCAGCCCTCGCCCCCATTCCTACTGGGCAGGGCCGTGGGCATGCACTTGAACAGGTCTGTGGGGTCATGTCTCCTCTCTCATTGGTGGATGCTGAGGCAGGTGCCATGGAATGTGCTAGGCCCACCCAGCACCCTGAAAACCAGGTAGGCGGGTATAGGTTTCCAGAGCAGGTCAAAGGCCGTGTGGTGGATTTCCTAAAGCACAAACGACGCACTAGCTTCCTGACCCAGGTCAGCCCTCCCAGACCGGCAGGCCTGAATGGACAACGCTGGGCATGGCGCCAGATCCTGGAGCTAAGCAGACGCCTGGGGTCCATCTGTGATGCTTCCTGTGCCAGTACCTGCTCCCTCATCAATAGCTACCAACTTCAGCCCAGGGATGTTTCTCCCCTGTGGGTCCTCCCTTCCACCCCTGCTGCTGTGTCCTTGGCGTGGACCTCTCCAGCACTCCACAGAGGCCAGAGCCTCTAGCTGACCTCTCTGCCTCTAGTCTTGTCCCCAGGGTAGCCACAGAGCTGGCTCTAGAATGCACTCTGACCCTGCCCCGCCCTGCTGATGGCATCCAGTCTCTGCCCCTCAGCCTGGCACACCGAGTCCCCTGTGCCTGTGGTGGGCCCCTGCACCCCAACCCAGCCTCCTGGGACTCCAGGTTGACTTCTGGGGACCCCAAACTGTTCACAGTCCCCTCAAGCAGCATGGATGCCCTTTTAAAGGTGTGTGCCATCAGGCTGAGTGCTTTATGCCTGTCGTCTCAATTTCAGAAGCAGAGGCTCAGGAAGAGTAACTTTCCCAAAGATACAGCACATATGCGGGGAGGGCCAAGACTGGACAGGCCTTTCTGGCTCCACAGTCCTCCCCTGCCCAGGGCTTGCCCACGTCAGCGCCACTGACATTCGGAGCCAGCTCATTCTCTGTGGTGGGGCATCCTGTGCATTGCAGAATGTTAAGCAGCATCACTGGTCTCCACCTACCTGGTATCAATAGCACCCAACCCAGGAGGGACAACCAAAAATGTCTCCAGATGTTGCTCAACAGCCCTTGAGGTGAAACTGCCTGGTGAGAGCCGCAGGCCTACCCAGCATGCCAGGCTGCCTCTGCTCATGCTGTCATGTGCCTGGCCTTCTCACCCCGTCGTCTGCCACCCATCTCTTCATTCAGGAAGACGTAACCCTGGGACATCGGCTCTAGGAGGCTCTCCCTGACTGCCCTGTACCCCTCTGCTCAGGTGGGTCAGGCTCCTCCCCTCTACCACTGTCCTCCATGGCCAGAACTCTGATGACTAGGGAGGCAATGGGGTTGGAGGGTGCCAGGTAAGAGTGAGGGCTCTGGAGACCATGGACCTTGTTCTCGTCCTGTGCAACCCTGGGTGACTGACTGGACACTCTGAAGGCCCCTTTTCCTCACCTGGAAAACGGGGGTGACACCATCCATAACAGGGTGGTTACAAGTACGCAATGACTTGATTTATGCAAAGCACTAAAACAGGGCCTGGTACATACTAAGCCCTCAATAACTAAATATTAGCATCTTAACCATTATTTTATTTATTTGACCTCCTGAACTGTATTAATTTCATCCCCATCTTCCCAGTGCTCGGCACAAGGTGTGGTCCAGAGCAGGCTCTGAAAAATGCTTGCTGAATGACTGAATGGATGCATGATGTGTGGGTGCACGGATGCATGGATGAATGAGTATATGCAGAGATACACGCATGCACAGAAGAATGGGTGCATGGATATGGATGCATGTGTGCACGGATGGAAAGGTGCACAGATGAATGGGTACATGGATATAGATGCACACATGCACGGATGGATGGGTGCATGGAAGAATGGGTGCATGGATATGGATGCATGTGTGCATGCATGCACTGGGTGCACAGAGGGTTTGGTGAGTGGAGAAAGGGGGAAAGGAGAGAAGGGCAGATGAGAAGTGACCCCTGTACCACAAGACCTGGAGCGGGTCAGAAGACTTGCAGAACACGCACTTCCTAGCCACAGCTCCCTCCTAATAAAGCACATTCCACCACAGTGGGTCTCCCAGCCTTGTCTGTGATTTGGCTCCATGACAGTCTGCCATTATTACATTCAACAGTCAGGTATTTGACAAGGACACCAAGTAAGGGCACACACCGCGCAGGAACAGGTCACCTCATCCTGCTGCTGTTAAAACTCACACCTCATGAAGACCGTTGGTGATCAGCGCAGGTCCCCATCACAGGGCTCTGTCTACACCACACCACAGCTAAGAGGAGGACAAAGGGATTTGAGAAGTCCCCTTCCTTAGCAGCCTCATTTCAGAACAAAGTATCAAGTCAGGCTCTAGCTGGGTCCGATCAAATGAGCCAGTGTCTGCAAGTCATATTTAAACAGGAACATATGAGGGGAATCCACAGGGGCAGGAAATTGCAAGGCTCCTCAGGGTTCCCCCAAAGGTCAGGAGCTAGACCCAGAGATGGCATCCACAGGGGCCCAGGGCTCCAGGAGCCCCACTCAGTCCTCCCACTCTGGGCTGGTGCCTGCTGAGTCGTAGCAATCCCATCCAGATAGACGACAACAACACCCATCCCCTCTGAGTCAGAGAAGGGAATCCAGCAGAGACAGCCCTGTGAAGTGGGCTTTGCGACCAGAGCGAACACGTCGGGGTGTAACGCAAACCTCATTAGAGGGAAAACAATCTGCAGTAGAAAGCTGTATCTAAAACACTTGGACTTAAATGGAAAAAAACTGAGGGATTTTCTTTAAAAAAAGAGAATGCATAAAACTTTTTCTAAACTTGGAGCAGAATTTAAAGTCCCCTTACCTTAAGCTCACAGACAGAAAAAACAGTAACAAAAAACAGAAAATTACTAAGGAGATACAGACACCCACTCCCACACTTCTTCCTGGAAGTGCGGTAGAGGGGGAAATCCCAGGGCTGGGTTCGAGTCCCAGCTCTGCCCGTGCATGGGCAGTGGGGAGTGAGTTCACTTCCGAGGCTGCCCTGCCACGTGCACAATGGGCCCACAGCAGCACCTTCCCATAGGTTGGGGAGCACCTTCGAGCTGCACTCCAGGAGGCCCCAAGCCAGCCTGACTGAAGCAAATGCTCCATCCACGCCAGTCTTATGAAGCCCCCTGAGGGTACACGGCGTGATCAGGCCTCATAAGTGACTGTGGGGAGCCAGCCCAGGGCCGACCAAACTCAGAACAGTACAGGATGCGAGCGCACCACTTACCCTGCCCAGGACATCAAGAGGCAGCTTTGAGTTCATGAGAACTGGCTTGACTTTGTCTCCGGAGAGCAAGCCATTGATGGGTAAGAGGCTTTCAAAAATTCCGTCGAATTTTGCCTTTTCTTCCACCTGGTTGGAAAGAAACAGCCTGAGTGCGTGAGAAAGTGTGCCTGTGAGAGTCCAAAACAAGCTCTGAGCTGAGGCTGAACACAAATGACCAGGAGCCACCACTGGCCTCGCTCAGAGCACAGGGCCGTCTCGGAGCACTCCCAGGACGAACTCCTTGAAGAAGGAGGCAGCTCTGGCAGCCAAGATCAATGGGAAAGAGGACCCGGCCCTGGGCCAGGGACACAAAGATCACCCTACCTACCTGCTCAGGGCTCACTAGGACGAGAAAGGCAAAAGTGTGAACGGGTTTTAGTTCTTTAAGAAGAAGAAGTAAATCTGGATATCAAGCCACAGAACTAAAGACTCAAATATAAAAAAAACCCAAAGACTTAACCAATTATCCAAATCAACTTTAAGCATAAGAAGTCCTCTGTGTCTCACAGTCATAAAATAAATATTAAAAGCTCCTCCTGGACAGAGTGAGGTCTGGGCAGGACTTACAGTGCAGACTAGAAGCTACTGCTGTTCTGAAGTCTGAAACGCAGGCAGCATGAGGAAGGGCCGTCAGGGAGGAGGGTCTGGGCAGGGCCCTGCAGTCTGCCCTCCTACGGAAATAAAGCCTGAGGCAAGTGGAACCGGGGACAGCAGAGCTCTCACCACCAGCCCTGACCACAGGCTGGAGGCACGGGAAGTGCTAAGAAAACACCCCCAAAAAGGGTCCATCGGCGGAAGAATGGATAAGCACAGTGCGGTCCATCCACACACTAGAATGTTAGCCCTAACGACATAGGAAGTTCCAACCCTGCTACAACATGGATGAACCTTGAGGACATCAGGCTACAAGAAATAAGCCAGACACAAAAGGACAGATACTGTACGATCCCACTCATACGAGGCCCACAGAGGAGTCACACTCAGAGAGACAGAAGGTAGGACAGAGGGTGCCAGGAGCTGGAGGGCGGGGAGTGAATGTTTTAACGGGACAGAGTTTCAGTTTGGGACGATAAACAAGTTCTGGAGGTAGATGGTGGGGACGGCTGTGCAACCATGTAAATGGACCTAATGCCCCTGAACTGGATACTTACAAATGGGTAAGACGGTGAACTTTACCTTACGTGTATTCCACCAGAATTAAAAAGAAAGAAGAAAGCAAGAAGCAGACACTGCACGCATGAGCAGCTGCGAGCGCTGAGAAGACAAACGCCCTGTGTCTGCCTTGAGCCTCTGGGATTTCCCTGATCCCTCAGACTCGCTTCTAGGTTCTTCCAGAAGCCCAGGAACATTCACAACAGAAAAGAACTTTTGGCACTTGGGGTTTGTCTGTTTCTCTGAACAGAATGCCGAGTCTCTTAGGAACGGTCGACCCCATCACGGCACCATTCCCACCCCTGACTGCTCTCTGCAAAGCTTTGCGGGCTCCTCAGCCACCAGCCCTCCTCCTGAGGCCTCAACTCGGCCCCTGCCAGAGAGGGCTGGAACAGTTCAAGGAATAAGATCTCTCTGGCACTATTTTTCACAACAAAGCAGCTCTTTTTCAAAGTAGGCGTTGCAGAACTGGACTACAGAGAAGGAAATCCTCCGATACCGCGATCTCCACCAGCAAACTACGACTTCTCAACTCCTCAGACACATAAGGCCTCCTCCTGCCCTGTCTCTGCATAGACCTTCCCCATCTAAACCCTTCCAAGGAGAGAAGAGACCAACCGCATAAAACAAGACAAGAGCCCTCGACTGGAGGGGGGGGGGGGGTCCTTATTTTACAGAAAGACTATGATTAATGTTGCTTTTTAAGCCAAATAAAAGGAAATGTGACAATCTCTCACAAGTGGGGAGCAAGGAGGTCCCATTACCTGGGAGACCATCTCCCTGCCCCACGTGTGTTCCCTTGACGAGTAATTCCCCACTTAGTAGAAGACACCACTCATTCTTTAATCTCTAGAAGCAGTAACACAGCTTTACAGGCACAACATCCTCTGTCTTAAAAATAATACTAAGTGCTCAGAGAAGTTTTTCAAAAAGCAATGAGAGCATCAGAAACGAAGGCATTATAACGTGTAAACGGGCTGGAAATAAGAGACAGCTATGAAGACATGCTGGCAGTCTTCACGCCCGCAAGTTCTCACAATTTCCCCTTCCATCCTGATTAAAAAGCAACAAAACCCGCAGAACATGACCTAGAAATGCAAGATTTAAACTGTAGAATTTTAAGAACCCAGCTCCTGAAACTGCCTTAGCGGGCAACACCTAATTATAGTAAAAGGCTATAGCTGTTTCAAGATTCTAATTTGAAAAAGTTATTTCATCCAAATTCTGTGGCACACTCACTCTGAAACAAAACAGATAAATTGTCCTGCGAAACGTTTTGAACAACATCATAAATGGCTAAAACCATTACACGTGTACGACAGCCAGGGGTGCCCCTCTGGTCACTTACCCTCACAGCCCAGTGGGCCTCTGCAGAAGGCGGCGGGACCATCAGAGGGCTGCTGGTGTCGTGCTGTGGAGAGAGAGAGACATCCCGCCATGGTGCCACAGAAGGATGTGTTTATTGAAAGGATACACATTTCAAAGTGCTTTCAAAACAGGGGAAGGTCTCAAAAAGTTAAACACAGAATTACCATATGACCCAGCAATTCCACTCCCAGGTATGCACTCAAAAGAAGTGAAAACACAGGTGCAAATGAATCCTTGTATATGAATTATGATGCCCACCAACAAATGAACACAAAATGGGGGAGACCAGACAAGGCATTCTCATTCAGCCATGAAAAGGAATGGAGCCCCAACACACACGACAATATGGACGAGCCTTGAAAACATCATGCTGAGTGAAAGAAACTGGGCACAGGATTCTATGAAACAGCCGGAACAGGCAAATCCATAGAAACAGAAAGCAGCTTAGTGGCGGCCAGGGGCTCAGAGAGGGGGAAATGGGGAGTACAGTGTTTCCTTTTGGGGTGATGAAAATGTTCTGGAACTAGATAGGAGTGATGGCTGCACAACATCGTGAATGCACGAAGTGCACCTGAGTTGTTCAATTTAAAATGGTTAAGTTTAGGCTATGTAAATTTCACCTCAATAACAAAAAAGAGGGAGAGAGAAAACATGGAGATAGATGGATGGTGATAGAAGAATGTGAACTTGAAGGATTTTGACACTTACAAATTTAGGCGGCGGCATGTTCAAATTCAGATTGCTCAAGGTAACTTCATGACCACTCTGTGCACAGGCCACTAATCTCAGGGCAACATAGAAACCCTGCAAATCCAAAAAGGCGGGGAGGTGTAACCCCATGCAGCTGTCAGCAGCAGGGGGAGAGCTGTCTGCGGCAGCGAGCTCCGAGGAAAGAGGTATTTCCCTTCACTTCAACAAGGACTGCATGTGTGAAAGTCACTTACGGCGTCAGCTGGAACTGGTATTACCCTGGGAGCACGGTTTAAAGGACTATGCTGAAACAGACTCAGCTCATTGCATTCTGAACACTGTAAAATTCCAAATAAATGTACTTTCAAAAATAATGAGCTCCCAACATTTAGGAAATGCTAGATTACATATGTAGCACACTTAATATGTTTAAGACTATAAATGATGGTTCAAATAAGCGTTGATTTTTTAAAAATGGTTTGAAATAGGGCTGTTTCAGAATTGACACTCACAATTCACTGTGATCCCCTCGGCCTCTGTGACCAGGGCCCGCCCACTCGCCACCAGCCTGACATGGACTCCACCTCCCACGCAGAGACGAAGGCCCTGAGCTCGGCCTGTGGGGCCTGGGCTCCTCCCTGCCGCTTCCTGACCCAGCACCAGCCACACCACAGGCTTAGTGGACTCTGGAGGCCTCACTGAATTTTCAGTTGATCAATGGGCCTACGAACATGGACCTTTTTAAAGTTATAAACACAATTACGGTTCTTAAAACTTCTTCAAAGAGAGAAGCACAAGACCACCTTTCTCAGGCTGACCTCCACAGAATGCCCACACACCGGGCAGAAAAAAGGGAATGTAAATCAGTTTAGGGGAGCTGCATTAGGCAAAGTCAACAGGTTTCTTTTCCACGAGGCCCCTGAGAACCCCTACCGCGCAGCGTGACTCTCGAGGGACGGAGGGACAGCTGACGGTGCTCTGCCAACAGACCAGGTCAAGGATCTTGGGCACAGGAACAACACCCCTCGGAATGCAGCTTGGGGAAAGGCTGAACTAAATTTCAATATGACCATTTAAAATCATTTGTAAGTCCTACAACCTTCCATTTACAGAACAGTCTCGAAATGACAAAATTATGACGGAGAGAGGCCAGCAGTTGCCAGGGGTGAGGGTGTGACGACTGAGAGGCAGGACGAGGGGGATTCTTTGGGGTGCTGGAGCAGTTCCATACCCCGACTGTGGCGGTGGTGACATGAAGCTGTGCAAGTGATAAGATTACACAGAACTATATAGACCAAAAAACCCAAAACAGTGCATGCACAAGGGGTCAGCCCTGAGAAAGCCTCTGGTTGGGCACTGCGTCTGGCTCTGAGCACTGCGCTGCCATGACATATGCAGCTCTCACTGTGGGGAGCTGGTGAAGGATACACGGGAACTTTCTCAACTATTTTTGCAACTTACATGAGAGTCTGAAGTTATCTCAAAATAAAAAATTTCGAAAACATTTTAACCACTTGCAAGCATACAAAATATTAAAAGATACGCTAACCATGAAAGATAGTTCCAAGTGTTCAAAAGACCTTTATTTCAAAATGAAACCCTCCCATTTTAACAGTCTGATGGCTGCCTTTATGTCTAGTAATACTTGTCAGTGGCAACAGTGAGGAAGGAAGTGCAGACGTGACCCGCCTGGGGGCTCTGGCCCAGCCCCTCCACTTGCTCTGTGTATACGTGTATATACCTGTTTGTCCAAGAACCCTTTACCTTCTGGGTCAGCCAAGTCCCATATCTGTGGAAACACAAAAATGCTTATGAGTGTGACCATTGATCATTGCCCCTTTATTCACAAAACAGGAGCTGCCATCGCCGCATGTGGGCCTTATGGTAGTCCAGAGAGGCCACACACTCGGAGTGCCCCTCCCTCCCACCAAGGGCACACTGCTGGTCAGCGGCAGAGGCCGGAGAACAGCCAGGTCCACTCCGCTCCAAAGCCGACATAAATCCTTAAGCTGTCAAGACCCCAAAAGCACACAGGCCTCTTGTCTGCCACCCAAGCAGCAGGTGGCGATTGCCAAGCCTTTAGATCCACCAGTTACAGCCCTGAGAGGCTCGCAGTGGCCAGCCCATGCCCCAAGAGGAGTGTAGAGCCCAGAAAAAGGTGGTTGCACAGGCTGACCTTCACCTGCCAGTGGAGCCCTGAGGGTGGCCACAAGAGAGAAATCACTACCGTTCGTCACATACCTTCCCAAGGGTAATGTCTGAGAGCCCAGACTTCTTTAGAAAGAGTGCAGCTTCACTCGCCCCAACTCGCCCTGTGTACGCTGGGTCTACCTGGAAGGGGAGCAACACCTGAGACGAGGCTCAGCAGACAGGCAGCAGGGAAAACATCTCACGGACTATTGGCCAAGAATTCAGAGAACAGCAAGGGACTGACAGCGCCGCTGGGCTCCAATTCAGGATTGTGTTGTCCAGTCACTCGCTTTCTAGTTCAATCCAGAAAGACACCAGCAAAACTTACCTGCTTGTAATAAGATTCATATAATGGATTTCCAGTGAGAATCTGTAAACAAAACCACAGATACTGGTCAAAAGTGGACAGACCCTCTCTAAAAAGAAAAGTGTTGTCCTCTCAGTTTTTTTTTTATAAAACATCAGCATTCTTTTGTTTGCTTGTTTTTTAAAGACTGGCCCTGAGCTAACATCTGTTGCCAATCTTCTTTTTCTTCTTCTTCTTCTCCTCCCCAAAGCCCCCCAGTTCACAGTTGTAGATTCGAGTTGCAGGTCCTTCTAGTTCTGCTATGTGGGACGCTGCCTCAGCATGGCCTGACTAGCAGTACTAGCTCCGTGCCCAGGATCCAAACTGGTAGAACCCTGGGCCGCCAAAGTGGAGCGCACGAACTTAACCACTCGGCCACGGGGCCGGCCCTCCTCTCAGTTTTGTCATTATCAAAGTACCTAATAGTGAAAATCAAAATGTATGCACTTTAAATGTCCTCTATACACAGACTGCACTCTATTATTTTCACACACAGATGTCACACTTACTTGATTCAAAGAAAGAAAATGCAAATGCTCTTTAATAAGTCCCAATTCCAGTGCAAACAACACAGTCATTCAGGAAGGAGCAGCAGCCCAGAGTCGAGTTCCATTCGCTGAACGATGAGATTTCAACGTGTCCGGGAGCTCAGAGCGGAAAGACACCCTTCTCCTTTGAGATTGGCCTCTAGCTCCAGAATCAGAGCAGGAGTTTCTGCTCGTCATCATGAATCACCAGACACGCAAGCTCCAGACCAGTTTCCCTGCCCCAGGAGTCATTCCCACCCACCCTGTCCTCTACCAGCCACCCAGGGACTGAACAAAAATGCACCCTGACTGGCCCCAACAGGGAGAGAGCTAGCCAGGGGCCACTTCCACCATAGCAGGCAGGAAGTTCAAAGTCCTCGGCTCAGCACAGAAGAAGTTCTGAGTTCTAGCCATCGGATCCCTGAGTCGTCACTGTTCAGAGAAGGTAACCACCTCATCTGGGTCATGTGGCCAAGCGAGGCCCATCTGGATTCAGCCTGGCTGGCAGCTGAGCCCCAGCAGTTTCCACAGTGCCCACGGCCTTCTTCCCAACCGCAGTGAGTCGTCCCCCAGCGGGCAGGAAGGGGTACTCGGAGGAGGTGAGAATTAAGCAGCTACTAAGATGTTGGCTAGAAAGAATTACGTGTGTTGGTGTTTTACTGCGGGAAAGGGAAAAAGCAGTCCGCAAACCTCCTGTTGATTGAATGGGCAAAGAAAAGTGAAGATGACACAGCTATACTTAATCACGTAGATGAACAGGTGTGGAAACAGCTAAAGAGAAAAGAGCTTGGACTGCGGAGTACCGGATAAGAGGTGGGCGATAGTGTTTGTTTTCAAAGTCTCTGAAGGCTTCACTGGATTTTTCATAATGAATAAGATTGGGGGCAGGTGTGTTCCTTCCAGTCACAGTCACTGGATTGGAACCAGCCCAACACTTAACCCTTGTGGCACCGTGAAGAGTCATTTCAGGTTAAAAATGCCACCCGGCTTACAGTCAGCTCCTCTGGGGGATCCCAGCACGTGCGAATGTATAAAGAAGAAAAAGTGCCGAGAACAATACCAAGACCGTGAAAATAAAAGGAAAAGGGCACCGAGATCTGACAGGGGAGTGGGGAAAGCCAAACAAAGAAAAAGGAGAAAGAAGGAGAGAAATCCCGAAAAGCCAGAAAAAATAAAGAATTTGAAAAGCAAGAAAGGCTGCAGGGTGAGGAGTGCTGGCCTAAGAGAGGAAAGGGCTGACCCCAGTGAAGAGCAGGGGGAGGCAGGTGCACGGGACAGCAGTGCCCTGGCTGGCCGCCCGTCACAAAGACACGGCTACTGGGGGGGGCATCACCCTCGGCTTCTCATGACCTCAGACGGCAGTGTCCACCATCACACCCTGCGTGACCTCCTGGACTTAAAGCTCCACAGCCTTTCAAAGCACATCCCCCCAGAGGGGTAAGGCCAACAGAGGAAGCAGAGTTAGGCAAGCTGTATGTCATCTGTCAGTCAAAGTGACAGTGGCCGGGTCCAGGCAGCACATCACGTGCCACTGGCTCACAAGAGTGGAATGCACAGACCCCAGGGTCCCCGACCTTGATGATAAAGGTCCCCTTCCCACCAACAATCAGTAGGTGGCAGGTCTGAAATGCATTTCCAGTGGGATTTCTTTTAAGATCTCCTGGTAGGCAAGACAGAAGTTTCCAGGCAACTTTGATTTCAGTGACAAAAGAGTTATGGTATTTGGGGCACACAGGGTTAACAACTGTCTCTAACTTTCCAAATGCTTCTGAGCTACAAGATCCACCATCAAGAGAAACAATACCCTGAGTAGTCCAGAAAAGGCCCTGAAGCACCAACCATCTGTGCTAAGGGCTTATCCCACAGACGTCTGGGGCCAGGTGTTGATCCCAAACCATCGACAACCAACAGAAAACCAGACTATGCCTCAAGCATGCCTCTCCAACTACGGGAATCCTGTTTGGTAAACTGGGACAATGACAGCAGGCAGAGGTTTCTGTTTCATTACACAGACTACAGGTACTGCAAAAGCAGAAGAGGGAAAAAGAAGGGAAAACACCAGACTCTAACAGCCACTTCCTCTTGCCACACTGTGTCCTCCCAGGGACAGCGGAGACACGCCTGCCAGCTGCCTGATACGCCATTGCAACAGAGCTGAGGACACACGCTACTAACACCACAGATCCCCCAGTGACGGGCAGTCTCTGTGGCTGGCCCCTGTGCACAGACCTGGGTCACAACCAGCACACCACTGCAGGCAGCCGCTCCTAGAGGGCACATCATGGCTGCTGGGACAGAGCCGTCTGCATACTAAGCACAGGCAACAGGGCTGCCTGCCCGTGTCTGACCCCAAATTGAGCCAGGGCCAAGGGAGAAAGGGAACGGGCCAGGGGACAAGGTTTTCAGTGTAAGAGGCTGCAGAGCACTTGGCAATGGCTTCAAGAATGGAAGCAAGATGGAGCCAGCCGGGATGGCATTCTCCATCGCCAGTCCATGGTGCTAAGATGCCATCTCCACCTCTGCAGCGTCTGATTTATGGATGAGGCACAATACAACTGTCATTCTACCTTTCAGTTGCTCAGCGTGTCTTAACGTACTAAGATAGAGAACATGGAAAGTTCCTGTGGCCTCTTCACTCTGCCCTCCAGCCCAGACACAATTTCCAAGTGGAGCGACAGGGAAGGGAGCACATCAGAGAACAAGTTCATGTCCTTCTGCTGGGAAGGCTGCAAAACACCACAGTTCACACGAGTGCATGCGATTTTAACACTGGAGAAAACCATCTTGAGATGAGGAACCCAGGAGAACCACTTTGGAGGGGGACCCTCTGAGCATCAGGATTCTAGCCACTCCTAATCCTCCCAGGACTGAGTCCACCCAGCTCTGACGCTGCGTTCGTCCACGGCAGGACTCCTCCTAACACTTAGGCCTGGACCAGAATTCCCATTCTGCCAGAAGTATGCTCTCTCACACAACACAGAGCAACAATCACCGGCCTTGTTTGTCTCAAAACGACATTTCTAAAGCAAATTGGTTTTCACTTTAAAACTTTGGAAGAGTATCTATAGCTCCTTGTTCTGATAAATCGTGGATCACATTTAGTGAGCACTTGGTTTTCAACCAGCACCTCATTTAATCCTCCCAGTGACGCTGTGAGACGGGAAATACTGTTGGCCCCAACTTACAACTGGGGAGTCTGAGGTTAGCTTGCCCAGGGCCACAAACCTAATGAGTGGCAGAGCCAGAGGAACATCCAGATTGTGTGGCCCTAACCTACTTCACACCCTGCAAAAACAGCTCAGGTTTGGCAGTCAAGAGCTGGGCCACAGCACGGCCTCGCACGCATGCTCGCCTGGGAAAATGCATGTACGTGATTATGTGATGGTGCATTTTATCCAACAGAAGAGGTCAAAGTGCAAGACTCGACCTGAGCATAAAAACTGACCTGCAAACAAGCACAGCCCGCCATTTCCTCAGGAACACTGAGATCCCATAATGGCTGTTTTTTCAATGCTGTTGCTAAGTTCTGCAGGAAGTTAGGCACGTAACACCAAAAGACGTTGTGGTCTGAGTTCCTACTTGGAAACCCAGATGCTGATGCAAAAACAGGGCCTGGAGAAGTGCTCATTGGATGATCCGCGTATTTTCGCCTTCCACTTCGAGTCAGTTCCCCTCACTGCTTGCACAACCCTATCTTGGCTGTGTGCACAGCCACACTCTGCAGCTGATGGAGCTGGGACTTAACCCAGCAGCATTCAAAAAGCATCAGGAAATCCTGGGGCATCCCTCACCCCCCAGGAACTGACTTCTCTCCGATTGCCCCGTCGGAGGTTTCTAAAGCAGAAGTAAGGTAAACATGGCCAAGAAAAGGAAAACCCAGATGTGAGAAAGGGCTTTTATACATCATAAGGAAAGGACAGACAGCCCAATGAAAAAATGAGCAAACGATGAGAAAAAGGCAACTCAGAAAGAAGAGATGCAGCAAAGTTAAGGGGAAATGTTCAATTTATGTATTGCAAAATAGAGGGAAACGCCACTGTTTGCTATCAGGTTGGCAAAGTCAAAGAGAGGTGCTATGCAGGGTCGGCCAAGGTGGAAACGCACGTCGTGGGCCCTGCCAGTGGAAAGAGAAACTGCGTGGCCTTTCTGGAGGGCAGTGCGCCTACGTGCGGGAAATGCATATGCCCCTGAGATGCAGGTTTAATGGGATTCCTACCAAACTCCAGCTAGATTTTTTTGTAGATAAAAATAAGATTATTCTAAAATGTATATACAAAGGCAAAGGAACTGAAACAGCTAAGACAACTTTGAAAAAGAAAAACAAAGTGGGAGGAATGAGTCCACCTGATTCCAAGGCTTGCTATACAGCTGCAGGAATCAAGACAGTGCGGCACTGCCAGAGAGACGGACACGCAGAACCACGGAACAGAACAGACAGCCCAGGAACAGACATACCCAGACATGCCCAACGGCTTCTGACAATGATGCAAAAGCCATTTAGGAGGAAAGAGGGCTGCGCGACAAATGGCGCTGGACAACTGGACATCCAGAGGAAGAAGACGAGCCTCGACAGAAGTGTCACTTTATACAAACATTAACTCCAAATCACCGACTTAAATGTAAGACCATACAACTTTTAGGAGAAAATATTCAGGATTGAGGTCTAGGCAAAGAGTTCTTAGACTTGGTACCAAAAGTCTGATTCATAAAAGGAAAAAAAAAATCAATAAATTGGAGCTCATCAAAACTAAAAATGTTTGCTCTGTGAAAGATCCTGATAAGAGGCTGCAAAAACAAGTGACAGACAGGGAGGAAATATTTGCAAACCACATATCCAACAAAGGACTGGGGTCTGGAATCTATAAAGAACTCTCCAAACTAAAAAGCAAACAATCCGAGAACATGGGTGAAAGACAGGAAGGGGCACTTCACCCAAGGGGAGCTACAGGTGGCAAACAGGCCCAGAAAAAGATGGCCAGCATATCGTTAGCCATTAGGGAAACACAAATTAAAACCACAGCAAGGTGCCACCACACTCCTGTCAGTGGCAGAATAAACAGCAGGATAAATAGTGATGCAGGTGAGCATGCAGAGAAAAAGGTACCACTCCTCTGGAAAACAGCTTGGCAGTTTGTTCAAAAAATCTAAACATGCCACTATCACATGACCCAGCAATTGTCCTGGGCATTAATGAAGACTGAGGCTCATGTAATATGCTGTACTCAAATGTTTACAGCA